TATGAGCAAACTTGATAAAAGACTACCTAAGGATGCTACAGACAAAGTTTGGTGATCATCCATCCATTAGTTCTGTATTAGAAGATGTTTAAAGGTTTTTCTATTTTTAGCTCTGCTGAACCCTAAAAGGGGCCAATTGAAATGACATGAGCAAATTTAAGTGTGACTATCACAAGGATGCTACAGACCAAATTTTAGTTAAATCTGCCCAGCAGTTTCAGAGAAGAAGAAGATTGTTGACGCATGACGACGGACGACGGAGTATCCCCCTTTGATACTAATAGCTCACCCTGAGCCTTCGGCTCTGGTGAGCTAAAAAAAGAAGACAATTTAAGTTCTTAATTGCAAATTGGAATGTAATGTTCAAAGTCATTTTACACGTGAAAAGATTCACTCCGAGAGAGATATAGATCCGACATGAGAACACATTAGTCAAAATATGTCGTCCCTTCGTGTTTTCGCATTTTCGCATTTTGAGGCGAAGACGCGAAAATATTTGGATGGCATTAATCAGCTACCATACATAATCCATTCAAGGCGAAGTTCTCAAGCATGTCGAAAGGATGTCCGGAAATGTGTAAATATAAAACGCTGATATTTCGTGTGTTGATAAAAATACTGTTTAGATTCTATATGGTTTTGAAAAAAAACTGTTTCTATGTAACTTTTCACGGAAATGGGCTGTACAATGATTACGTAAAAACAATAAAATGTCGGCTGTAGAAATCGAAAGGCATTTTGTCACGTGACTTTTGCCCATGCTACCGAAAACTACCCATCACAATATCACGGCGTTGAGACGCCGTGAAATAAGATATAAATTGTGCTGAAGCTTCAGGTATATTGTTTATTAATAAGTTAATAAATTGATAAATAAATTAATTAATTAATCAATTTATTTATTTAATAATTTATTTATTCATTAAGATGTTGTTTATAGTTTTCTTACAAAGTGAATTGATAGCAAAAAAAAAACAACAACAAGAAACAACAACTTGGAGTATTGATATCAATGTCAATTTTTGACAATATGGGCACTTAATCATTTCAAACAAATGCAAATGAGGTTATCATGTTCAAAAGACAAATATGCAAGTATAGACTACAGGTTTTGTTTGCATTTTCTTGATGCATATCTATTTTATTAATTGTCTGAAAGAAATTAAAGAAAATGTTGAGATATGAATGTTATATGACAGCAGAAAAAATGATAAAGGTTTTGACACGATAGCCGGAAACCAACTTTTGGAAGCGGCACGTTTCTGTTTTGTTTCTTTTATAGTTTAAATATTCAAACATCACTACGTAAGTGCTGTGCTTATTAGGAGTCCATTTTCAACAATACATTTTTTTGTCATTTTGTCTGCATTTGTTAGGAAATCAATGCTGACAATAACAGTAAAAGCGGAGGCATATAGGGTAATTTAGTGTATTGATATTGTCTATAAGTTTTTGTCAATATGAACACTAAATCATACAGAACATGCTAAAGCTATCACAATAATAAGAAAACTCATAGTCTGGAACAGACAAATATGGAGTTACTAGGACTCATAATAGACTTTACAGAATGTACATGTAAAGCATTGTACCGTCTTCAAGAATTCAAGTCAATACTGCAATATAATTATTTCTATTAGTTGCAGTAGTAATAATAACCAGGATCATCACTATTACTATTATTAAAAATGTTTAAAAAAGATTAAATGTTCATACCATTTTATGAAACACGACATTCGCTCAGTTTATATATTAAAACACCCTATTTCTAACGTGTTTTCGAAACACAGCACAATAAAAAAGAGAAGTTTCACCCCTCTTGTCAAAACATGATTGCTTATAACAACAACAACAATGGAGTGTAAACGACAATTTACAGAATTTCCACTTTTTGTACTCTTGCTGTCAGTATAGGTTCTAAATAAAGAAGAACTTGCGTCAGCTCTCTAATAGTAAGCAAACTTTACATAAAGTTGACCAGTACTTATTTCAGGGTTATTAACTTTTCAAATTCTAATCGACTAAACGTTACTAATATTTTATTATAGAGGACTGAATACGAGTTCTAAGCGAGGAAAGTCGAGAAAGATGTTATATTATATTTCGCGAACAGACTCAACTAAACCGAGTTTCTGTTGTGTGTGTTTGTTGTGTTATTTTTTTTTTTATTTTTTTTTTTTTGGGGGGGGGGGGTGTCATAGCTTTTATCGTGACAGTGTTTATTATCGGACTTATTGTAATATAACCACTACAGACTTGACACTAATTTATCATTTATATTACTATAACCTGTATACATTTATATATACACAAAATTACGTCATCTTAGATCAATGACAAATATGTCATTATCATAAAGATCATATTACACTAGAATATGTATTATTGATCATTCTTTTTCCTATTGTACGTAAAAATGTAAAAGCGCAGAGTTGTTAATCAGCGTGACAGGACAACGTCATTTTGAATCTTGGCATTCCTTTATGTTTATGTAAAAGTTTATGTAATTGCTTGGTCGCTTCGGAGTTTAGAACATCCTTTCAAAATATGCACATTAAAATGTTCTCAAAGATTAAAAGGCACATAAAACATCATTCACAATTAAAAATTATGTTAACTCTGGAGTCGTCAACAAACAATTATGAGATTGTGAACGTTTAAAGTTCAATATCGAAAGTGAAAAATGGTTAAATATGTTATCAATTAAGCTCCATCTTTATGATTATCTTACAGTGTAATATTCATTTGTCTCAAGTGATTCCATTTCAGCAACCTTAACAACAAGGTCACATAGACACCTTTACGAATTACAAAACTTGTAAATCATATAACAACAACAATTCCAAGATTGTCTAACATAGAAAGAATTTAACAGTTTGCGAGTACATTTTGATTGATTCGCTACATCGTTGAGAATATAACCAATAACTATTTTTTTATTATTATCGTGTATAACCATAAAAAAAAGAAACCCGTATATGTCTTAATGAATTGAATATGTTATACTCTGTAACATGTGTTTGCTATCGATATGAAAACGAATAACGTGCATTTAAAAGCGATCGATTCAGTGATTTTTCAACTGTTTTAAACATGTGTTTCCTTCCGATATAATATAGTTGAATTATACAGAATAACTAACATTATACAAGCAAAGATTCTTACTTTTCATACCGGATCATTGTGTACAGGAAATACATATTGTTGAATAACTAACAGAGTGAAAAGATACCATTTAGAATGACGAGAAAAACGGTCTGCGTGAAATGTTAACAGTCAGTTTGTATTTCGCCATCATTAATTTGTGAAAGAAGCTAACAGCTGTAGCTTTAGAAATATCGTATTTTTAGCATTCCGATTTCATTATCCTGACTGAAATCAGATATGCTTTTATCTAATCTTTCTGAAATGTCACTTACTTTCATCTGTATGATTTTGCAAAACAGCAGAAAAGGCTATTTCTAAGAAAGACAGATAGGGACATTATAGTTTTATGAAATCATTCGTTCAACGAACTAACGATTTCAACTTCTTGAACTTGCGATGTCAAGGTATTGAATTTACGAATTCACGATTTCAACTTTATGAATTCACAATTTTATCTTGATCGTAAATTTATGAAGTTAAATTTGTGAATCTGTGAAGATGAAATCGTGAATTCATTTAGCTAAAGGTGTGAAATCGGAAATCGTGAATTTGTGAAGTTCATACCGCGAATCCGTGGAATTCAAATCGTCAATTACTGAAGTTGTACCTAATCGTGAATTTGTTAAGTTGAAATTGTGAATGCATGAAGTTTAATTAATGTGAGTCTGTCTTAATACCGATCCAATAGACTGCAAACACATATAGTTTTCTTGGATTAGATAGTAGAACACATTTTGGCCGAGAGCATATTAGAACTTTGGACTGGTTACGGGTGTCATTGAGAGTTTATCAGCTTACTCTTTATCAACCCCTGAATACCTCAAAAATATTTTTTCCTTTTAGTTCGGTCCATGACCGGTGTACAAAAGATCTAGTGTCAAACCTTGTGTCAAATTATCATTTTTTTGTAACAACCGTCTTTAATTCTACATGAAGTAAGCAGGAAGTTTAGGTAAAAAATCTTTTGCCTTCAATGGTATTCTTTTGTGAAACGATCTTCTACAAGAGTTAAGAAATATCACCTGCTTGACCAAATTTAAAAATGCCATCAAAGTCCACTTAATCCATCAGCTTGAGTTTTATCCTTTTGTTTGATGTTAAGCTGTTTAAATCAGTGCTTTTAAATGTTTGTATGGTGTAACCTTTGTGGTATATAAATTAATGTGATACCTAAGAATCTTGATCTCTGTTTGCTGTAATCTCTGTAATATCCTTATTACAATAACTATTACGTAATACATATAATTATCATGATTCAACATGATACATTCCATAATGAAACTATCATCATTTTGTTGACAAACTTGTACAACGCCACCAATGACAGTGACAATGGAAATAAGGAGAAATTTATTTCCCTTTTTATGTAATATCTTATAATGGTGTGCAGTTGTTATTATAATTTTAAGATAAAGTACATGTTGATTTAATATTCAATATAGCCTGTCTGTTGCATTATGCATCTCATTTCTTGTAATGTTTTAAATGTATATGTTCACTGTACTGGATTAAAACCTTTAGAAAATCATCACACATTTTTCTTAACTGAAACATTTTTATGCAGGACTTCAACCATTAATTAATGAGGCTTCTGCATTATATTTAAAATACAAATGTCTCACTCGCAAACACTATGGTGGTACTATAGACGTTTTGTGTTTTGGCAATTATTTGTAGCATGTAGTATTGCCTAAATACCGGTTCAATATTCAGTTGATTTCAAAACGCTAGACAGAACACAACCAGTACTATAAATACATTAACTGACTAAACTTAACTAAATTAAATTCACAAAATATATTATGATGTAGGTGATACTCAAACTACATATATTGAAACAGTAAATAACAACGTGAAAAACAATAAAAAAATCTTTATTTATAGTTGAACATTTTAATTACTAGCAAAAGGGTTTGAGATATGCATGTATATATGAATGAAAATAAATGTGTATCGATAATTTTGGCAAAAAGTAAGTAAAAATTACTCAAAATGCCCAATAATCTAAATCATTCGTGTATACATATTTTTCGAAACATTAATAGAAAACATTATGTATTATATATAAAATGCACAGCATACATTATCCTAACAAAGAGATACAGTCTGAATGAATTGTGATATAATGAATAAGTTAATGAAAACACAATATTACAATGTATGTGATTTATGTTAATTCACATTTATTCTCTTTTTTGCATAATATAAGCAATTGGAAACGGCGCTGATTGGGAACGATACTGTTGCAGCATTTGCCACTTCTATAAAGCCAGGCCAATCGGCAAATCTGTGCAGTTTGACCAAAACTCTATTCTATTAATAGTTTTTTGTTTGTTTTTTTTTCTTGCTGTTGTTGTTTTGTTTTGTATTTTGATATATTGAAATCCCTTACACTTTGAATGGACTGTTCCAAAATCAAGGCAGGGCAAATCCATAATACAACATATACAGATTAAGGGTAAATTTGAAACAAATACAACATGAGATCTTGGCTAATCAGGATATACTTTGCATAGGGATATGACCTCCATCGAGGCTCTTACAGAATTGGAAAATGTTATATTTCAGTCTCATGTCTATCTTAATATATGGTAAATTTCCTAGAGTTTATTGCGCTGTGTTAACTTGACATTTAATTGATCATCACATTCTTTGTACCTGGAAAGTATACTGTGGGTTCATTTTTTCTTTTTTTAGTCTTCCCAGTTTGAAGAAATGAAATTATGCACAATTGTATGAGTCTGATTGTTCATTACACCATACTTTGATACAACTCGTTTCTATAAGTCGTTTAGGACATACATATTTCAATTTTAAAACTCATTCAATTTCTTCCATCTTCGCTTAACTGAAAAAAGATGCATTTGTACAATAATGGAGTGTGAATAATCGTAAACTTGCTAGTAATTAATAATGCAAATATATTCATAAAAGAATATACTATTTGCTATGTTTTCTTTTTTAATCAAAAATACTTATCTTAAAGCTCATTTAAAACAAACACATACTTTTGATTTTCGTTCACGTCTTTTTATAATCAAATTTATCAAAAGCCTTATTTTCGAATCCAACTTGTGACGTTTTCACACTGTTACCATTATTTACACCATATCTGTATGTATTAAGAATACTTTGTGATGGTGCAAAACACGGAGGTTCTTTTGGCAACCAAGAATTTTCACAGACTGCAATTTCATATGAATGTCTGCGCATCATTTTCTTTATAGCAAGACACTCTGTCGATAAATGATCAAGATTCCGTTTCCTTCGAAAGTTTGCGTCTTGAGATTTAGCGCGTTTAGGAACTACATTTTGACCGGAAGGCACGTATTCAGCAGTTACTTTTGATTTCTTTGAAGTTAAATGCGGGTTCTCGTCTATAGTATTAATACGCGTGGTACTATGATTAAATGTTAAGTTATCAACACCTGTATCAACAGAAAACACTGAACATTCGGCATGGTCTTTAACATCATTTAACATTGAAGTACCATTCGAGTATCTATCATTCATCAAACTTTGGGGTTGATTATGAGATGAAGTCATTGGTTGATTTTCTTCTATACTTAAGTCGTTTTCTTTATCTCCATTTCCTTTTTCAAGTTTTTCTTTTCTTCGCATGTCTCTTCGTTTTTGTATACGTGACCTATCCCTTAAACAAACAAGAATATTTTGGAAAATTTTAAATTGTGTATGAATAATTTTGACGAATAAATACCAATACATTTCATGACTTGTAAGTCTCCATGTAGGACAGCATTTTGTTTTTAATTTAACAGTAACTGTATGTTGTAAATCTTTGAATTCCAGATGCACTTTAATGCATAATATTACATAATTTAAGAATAAGGTATAATTCGTTTTATATACGTTTTATTCAATTTTGAAATAAATAAATAAATAAATAGTAACATCATAATTTCCATTCTGGTATTTATAATATGAAGGTTAGTATTCTGATAGCTTTTTCGTTATCAGTTTGACTTCCTGGAAAATTAAATTACTGAATATAAGAAGAATTGTCATTGGCCATTTTAAAATTACAAACTGAAATCGGTCAATCTCATTGGTCATTTTAAAATAAAACGTAAAGGATATGTCTAACCATTCTAAAATAAAATGTAAAGGTTAGGTCTTATCATTCTTAAATAAAATTAATGATAGCTCTAAAATAAAATATAAAGGATAGTTTTTGCCACTATAGAATGAAAAGTAAAGGATAGTTCTAAAATAAAATGTTTAGGAATGAGGATAATTTTTATAACTTTTAACTTAATTTGTGAATAATTATAAAATTTATAAAGTCAAACATGAAACCAGTAAAAAGAGACACCTAAAATAGAACTTATCCTTCTTTGTTTTTTGTTTTGTTTTTGTTTTGTGTGTGTGGGTTTTTTGAGGGGGAAGGTGGGGGAAGGTTTTAACTGAACTGGAAATTTGTTTTGTTTGTTTTCGAGATTTTTTTCCATTTGATAGAGTTCTATAACGATAATCTGTGCAAAATTTCAGATTATTCGTTCACTCCTTTTTTCTAAAGTAATTTCATTGCACAAAAAGACATAAAATGAAAAACATTCAACGCTTTCATCTTTCATTATCTTTCATTATAATTTCATATTTTCGTATTAACTGCTTGTTTTGATCTATGTAAGATTTTCATTTGTTTTTGTTATTTTTTTTAGCTTTTGGGCTCCTTTAATTTAAGAGTAATCGGCAATTCGAGAAATACGTAAAGTGTAAATTTAGATAAACTTACCTTACCGCCTTTATTGCAGAAATTATGCATGTGAGAACAAACACTGAGCCAAAAATTGCACAGAATACAATTCCTGACATTCCATCAAGAGCTGCCATTGTAGATTAAACTTTAAAAGTATCAACACTATTCAATCTTTAAAATCAATTCCATAATGTTCTCCTGTAAAATCCATTTCTCGATAGAAAAATCATCATCGTATACTTACGCTCATATGGTTACAAGTCCCTTTTTTAATTTTCTCTTTTCACATCAGCAAGATAAAAATAAATATCATCAATGTCTTTTTTACCTGATTGTACTGCACTGGTTTTCTGAATACTTAGTTATATATCCCACACTTTTTATATCCTAGACATGTACACGTTTGATGTGTGCATGCTACTCAGACATTATTATCCATTCTTCTGGCAGCCATATCATTTAGCACTGTAGCATGGATATAATTAATATACGAGTTTCCATTTATGGCATCTGCCATATTTTGTAATTTTTCACCAATTAAGAAATTTTCCTCTGAGGATATATTGTTTCACCTAACGGTATCTTGATTCAATATCATCGTATTTCATTCGTGCACTATCAGCATTCTTCTTTTCAGTAGCAATCAGACTTTGTTTCGTGAAAATCCTATTATGAATAAGTAAGTGCTCGTAAAACTGATACACCTAATTTAGACACGAGAATCAACCACGTGGCTTTAAATCACAACATTCATATCAAATGATTAGAAAGAATTGCTTAAGATTTCTTCAGTTCGGAGAGAATTTGGATTAGGTTATCCTTTAAACATACTTTCAAAATGAACCGAATAGTGTGAAAGTTGTTTTGATTAATCCAGAAGCCAATCTGCTATTCCTTATTTCCGTATATCTGCCCCACTTTGTAGTAACAGAAGATGTTTTTATCTGGCATTCAGTGTTTTCTTTTGATTTATTGATATACACTTACTTCTAGTATGCATTTCAGTGATAAGACTTGGCGCTGTTCAATATAATATTGTAGTATTTTCCTATAAAGCAGTTAGCAATGGCGGTAACAGATGTACTATAGCAAAAATACACCTGAAATAGAAATGACAACAATAATGTACCGATCAATGATACTGATTCTGAGCACGCAATCCTTCAGAATCGCTTTGTTATCAAATTAACTAATTGATATACGTAAGCAATGTATGTAGGCCCTTGTGGCGTATTGGCTCACAATTCTATTCTTGGTGTAATAAAATACATATACCACGATTAAGTATACATATAATTGGAAAAAATAATGTCCTAGATTGTACGTGTTTCACATTATATATCACTGTGCCCGATAATTATATATAATGTGTACCAATAACCATTGTATTACTACGTACATTCTTGCTAATTACTTTTTTCTGATGGTTTCAATAATTCTAAATCAGTTTTGATTTTTTAAATTGGCCGATGTATGTTCTAAAAGTGTGGCTACGGTACATAAGAAAAGGTAGAACCTTTAGCATGTGATATGGAACCTATGATGGAGAGTTGTATATTGTTTAGTTTTTTGTTTGAAAATACATGTATCCAAAAGATAAATTTTATTTATTCATACAGAATGCAATGTATATGTAAATGCTACCAGCAGATGTTGAATTGAAAATATACATATTGTATGTAATATAATTCTAATGTCTGCACCATCTAATTTAAACTGAATTTGTGGTTGGTGATTAGTACATTTCATTGCATATTTTATTGATCTTTTTAATTCTACATTACAATATTGGTTTGGTCTATATAGTTGAAGTTGTTGTTTCATTCTTTCGCTTTATCTTATGAATGTCTAAAAAAAGTTCCAAACAAATTTAAGCATTGCGTATCATTTTTTAAGTTTCAGATGTAAATGAAAAACACTTTTACTCACTATTGTTACAATTTCTAACGTTTTTTTATGCGACCGCTTTCCATATAATACAATATGCAACAAAAAGAATTCATATCTAGCTGTGACACTATAATTACACAATACGATCCGCAGCAGACCACACGATATCAATCTATTTTATGGTTATAAGAATAAAATTGAACCCGATCTTAATTGAAAGAGGGTCTATCTAAGGAACAAAGTGGTAACATATTAAGAGGACAAATATATCCACGATGTTAATGTTAAAATACTTTATCACTGTCTTGATTGAATAATCACAATGTCATTGGCGTTTCTCATAAAATAACTCCCAGATGAAATAAAAACAAAAAAGTGACATAAATTATCTTTAGCCTGGAATTTTATATTATATTTTATCGCTGTCAGATATTTGTTTATCTTTAATTTACAACAAGAAAAAGACAATGTTATGCAGTAATTACAAATGAGCCGCGTCAGACACACAAACAATCATTTATGGTTTGCGAACAAATGGATCCAAAACAGGCGTCCATCTAAGGCAAGTGTCTATCAAGGACCATATTTCCGATTATGTTATCTTCTACCTTTTCTATGATTTGATAACAACAGCATGGTTTCTCTAAATCAACTCGCAGATGCGCAGGCTAGGTTGATCCCTGCTGGATTTTAAAACGCTCAGATATGTTTTGTTTTTTCAGACACCTCTCAAATGATTGTTTATACACTATGACGTCTTAGATATAAAATCAAGACTATATGAAAATGTGCCTAGATGTATATGTACCAGCTACTTTTTTGAACTTCAAAGCACATTTGACATTTTAACATGCACACTTAGTCATATTCCAGCATAACCCTGAGTATAAATTACAAATCAAAAATTAACAATGGACAAAATATTGATACGCTGTTTTACCTTTTATCTGGATCCAGCAATTTCAACACTAAATGGAATTGATATAATAATAAACTTCATTTTATTTGAAGAAGACAAAACGTCAAAAACTAAAGAAAAGCGTTTGTTTTTAATGAACTGATTATATAAATGGAATTGATGTTATAATTTCTGTTTAACTCCCTTTCATCTAGATTAACAATGTCAGTAAAGAGCGAATCAATATTCATAACTGTTACAATACCGATTATATCAAGATATCTTATCAATCAAAGCACGTAAAGCGTATATTAAACGGAAAACAATTTATATAGCCTATAAAATGCTGGGATTTTCTCACAAGATGTTGTTTTATCGATAACGTATGTTCAAATCAGATTAAAAAAAGAAAAACAAAAGAAAAACAAAAAAACTTTACATGCAATAATATATTTTTGAATTTCAAAGCTCATAATGCGTTTATTATGCGTTTATAATGCGGAAAGCAATTTATATAGCTCATTATATGATGAGATTTACTTACAAGATGCAGTTACATCAGTAGTATGTAACCAACAAATTTAACAATAATAATATCACTTGAAACTGAGGAGTCCACTTTTTTAACACGTTTAGCTATAGTTATTATATTATCATTTCATATTTCTAGTAATTGCCATACGAGCATTCGTGTTTTACTAAAGAATAGCATAGAAATATACTCCGGTGAACTGTCAAAAGCTATTTAGATCTAGTTTCAATCATGCGATAGAGTAATAGGAAATAAAATAAAATGACATGTCTTCTTTAACTATCACGACATATGTTGATAAAGCATTATAAAAGTCGCTGAAATGTCGCTAAATAGATTATTATATGTTTGGTCTAGTTATATTTTAGTAAAGATGTTGTTGTAAAGATTCCTAATGCTATAAAACTTTCGAAATATTAATGCAGTTAAATAATTCCCATCCATATTTAAATATAGTGGAATTTCTATAAAAAAATAAGTAAGAAAGGGAGAGAGAGAAAGAGAGCAGTGCAAATTATACTTACCGCGCATGTAAGTAAATTCAGTTGTTTTTTACTGTTAAACGTATAACAAATGTATCACCTGTGAACGAAAATCACATAAATAATAAATCACATGTTGTTTCACAGTCAGCTCATGGTATAAAAGGTAAAAATCTATATACATACAACGTAAACATGAAATATGCTCATTTAGCGCCTTGTATTATTCAATAAAAGCAAACCCGTATAAGAGAATGAGAGCGGGAGAGAGGAAAATGATATCGACCTATACAAGTTGACGTTTAAGCTAGTGAAATATCGGATTATTTTCTTCATAAATTCTCCCTGTTCTGTTTTCTTTTAATGAATGATAGTAATTAACCGCTTTTTTTATAAAAAAAATAATTTGGTCTGGCGTTTTGACAAGAATACCACATCTAATTGCGATTTTTAATTTCTATACGACAATAAATTTGCTTTCATATTTCTATTTTGGTCTGTTACATACTTATCATTGCTTTATGTAAAAGAGTTCACAGAAAGGGAACCAGCAGACTGTACCAAGCAAAAACACGTCCCGGGTTATCATCTATCTTAAATTGCAGACAACTAATGAACTTTTCCCACTAATAATATACATGTAGATACAATTTTAATTGTGTCACTTTTTGTAAGTTTATAATCAATTCATTTCCTTAAATGATGGTAGTTTATATGAGCCTGTAATTATTGTGTAAAAATGGAAAAATACAAACCCGACGCATCAGACAGAAAAATCCGTACTGCATACTAGTGGTCCGGTTTCGTTGGTTTCGCCAGTCTAGAGCATACAGTCCTGGCTATTGCTCGGTTGATGGACAAAATAAAGAAAAACAAGGATATACCGCGATACCGAAAGATACACTGTAAGCTGCTGAAACCGGTCTCGTTGGATTTACCAGATCACAGAGCACACGCATGTGTGATTTATTCATAGCTCGAGCGCGGCTACGGGAAGCAGTGAAGAAAAAAGAAGAACCTGTGGTCTTGAAAGATAAATAGTCGGACCGAAAAAGCAAGTCCGTAAGAGGGTCTGTTCTTCTTTGTTTTAAGAATATGTTTTATTTCCAAATTGTACAACATGTAAATTTACAATAAACAATCAACCACAATGATAACTTTTGTGGATCGTAGCACAAGTCAAATATTGATATGTTTAATACTTGCAAAAGAAAACATATATTCAGTTAGAATAATATATACCGAACCAGAGCAGATAGCTAATTAAATATATCCATTTGTTAGTAATATTGTCTTATGAATAAGGAACATTTTATTTCACAAACATTTCATTGTCACAAATATTTCATTGTAATGCGAGATTAGTTTGCGGGAAATGAGATACAGAAGAAGTGGACATCAGTTTTTTAAACTTTTGGAAACTGGGATAATGAACTGACTTAGGTGCTTGTCTCTACACAAGATATGGCATGGAAAGGTAACAAAATACATGATTCTGATAAGATCATAACGAGGGCATGATTAGAAAAGTGCTGCATTGTCTCTATTTCGTCACAACGAAATGGACTTCCTATGAAGGAAACATTTCAGGGAGCTACAATCTAAAAGAAGGCGTACTTGTAATATTTGTCTTGAAGGACTTTCTACAATAAATAAAGTGGATTTATTATACATTGATTAAAAGCAACTAACGTTGCATTCAATGAATTGCTCCTGCGCTAAATAATACTAAAGGTAGCAATTAAGCAAGTATAAATACGAAGAAATGTTCAGTGGTGATATATAATGTGTTTTTGTCAATGCTTCTAGGTTTTGTCTGTAATACTGTCATGTTTTCAGGTATAAACGAGATCATGGAGGATGGTATCGAACAGCAGTCAAGTAAGGCGTCGGAAACAAATGCATCTGTTTCGTTCTCCACAAAAACATCCTGTAAATGTGAATTGAAAAGACGAAAAGAAAATAATGAATAAATAATAAGTTGATGGTAGTCATAGTGAGACTTTTGGTACGGAAAATATAATTGAAGTTTTTTATTTATCTATCTATCTCTGAGTACTGCCAACCCCTCTCTCGAGTGTTATAGGCAGGAAATTGTGCGCGTCGGGTGTGTTAGTAAAAGGTGTGAGAGAAAGTAAAAACCTGAAAATGAACATGATCAGGACAGTGAGAGACAGTCATTGTTAAAATATTTTTATTAGTAAGGGTGAAAGAAAGATTTAAAAGTAAAAACACAACAAGTCAACTAATACTGTATCTTAACCACTGCCTGTTTGTATTGATCTAGATCAGGCAGGGTGACAATGTTCCTTGGGAGCTGGTTCCAAAGTGTGATACAGTGGGGGAAGAAGGAGAACTTATGGTAGTCTGATGTGACCTGTATTTTTCTAAGAGAGAGGGGGTGCATATGTCTAGTAAGCCTAGATGGAGTTTTAATGTAGGTGGGAAGGCTAATGGCTACTAGATTATGGTAAATTTTAACAAACATAATAAGTCTAAAGTCTAGTCTGCGATGCTCGAGAGAACGCCAGCCAAGATCTTTCTGCATGGCTGTAACTGATGACAAAGGGGAGTAATCCTGTTTTACCAAGCGTATCGCTCGTCTTTGGACTATCTCTATTTTTTGGATGTTTGATTGTGTGTAGGGGCTCCAAACAGTTGATGCGTATTCTAACTGGGGTCTTACTATGGATTTATAAGCTAGTTGTTTTACTTTTTCATTTTTTGTATTGATATTTCGTTTTATGAAACCTAGGGTTTTGTTTGCATTTGATGTAATTCTTGAGATATGTGTGTTGTAGTTTAGGTCTGTGGACAAGTCAAGGCCAAGGTATTTTGAGCTAGGAACTGGTGTTAAAGCTTGGCCATGAAGGAAGTACTTGTTGTTGATGACTTTTTTTGTTTTTAGTGATGTGAAGGACTTGACATTTTGAGGGGTTGAATTCCATGTCCCTCTCCCTTTCCCATATTTGCATCTTATTAAGATCCTCCTGGAGGGATTGTGAGTCTGAGGACGAGTTTATAGTAATGTAAACCACAGTGTCATCAGCAAAGAGGCGAATTTGAGACTTGGAGACAGAAGATGGAAGTTCATTAATGTAGATCAGAAAGCAGAGTGGACCGAGGACGGAGCCTTGGGGGACACCAGAGTTTACAGGGACTTCTGTAGAGTGTTCATCTTCCAGTACAACAGTTTGGCTCCAACCTATCAGGAAGGAACGTGTCCAATTGAGAATTTGTGTGGAGACACCGTTTTCTTGAAGGGTAAGTAGAAGTTTACGATGATTTTATTTATCAAAGGCTTTACTAAAGTCACGGAGAATAAGATCTGTTTGTTTCCCTGCTGAGATGTTGTTGACAAGGGAGTCTGTTAGTTCAATAAGCTGTGTTTCACATGAGCGTTTCTCCCTAAAGCCATGTTGAAGGTCGAAGAGAATGTTGTGATTACTGAAGTTTGAAGAGAGATGTGAGGCGACAATGTGTTTAAGCGTTTTGCAAAGGATACATGTTAATGAAATCGGTCGATAGTTGGCTGGATCTGTGCTGTCACCTTTTTTGTAAATAGGGCAAACATAGGCTTTGGTCCAGTCAGAGGGAATTGTACCAGAGGATAAAGATTTTTGGAATAGAATTGTGATGATATCTGTGATTTCATTCCTCAGTTCTTTGAGGACAACCGGCCGAACAAGGTCTGGGCCTGCAGCTTTATCTATCTTTAGGTTGGCAAGAAGTTTCAGCACCCCATTTTTGCTGACAGATATATCATCCATTTGAGGGTATTTACAGTATTTTTTGGGGTCAAGGTAATAAAGTTTTTGCATGCAAGTTTGTTTTAGAGACAGTGGAGAGGCACTGGAGAAAACTGATTGGAACTGCGTGTTCAATATATTGGCCTTGTCGCGGTTGTTTGATTTAAGATAGCCTGTTGTTTGGTCTTTGAGAGTTGTTACATTTTGGGAATCTTGTTTGGAGTTTTTTAAGTGAGAGTACAGTTTTTTAGTAGAAAATTTAGTTTGGGTGTCTGTTGGATCATTGTCATCAAGTTCTAATATGTGTTCTAAGTGTTGATCGTAAGATGTTTTGATTTGAGTTTTGATGAGTGCTTTCAATTTTTTGAATTTTTGTCTAAGTTCATGATTTGATTTATGTTTTTTTTAGTTTTTGTTATAGATGGTCTCTTTTGTCATGAGTTTTTTAATTGCCTTTGTCATCCAGGGTAGAGATTTTTTTGATCCTATTCTTTTTATTGGAACAAATTTAGTAATTCCAGTTTCAATTGTTGATTTAAATTGGGTCCATAGTTCTTCAACTGAAAGTGTATCAACTTTATGTATGATTTCTTGGCTAAATATCTGCATATGATTTTTAAATTCAGGCCAGTTAGCTTTTTTGTAGATTGGGCAGTTTCTTGGTTTTTGTTTGTTTATAATTGGTCTTGCGTGTACACTTGTTGTGATGATGTCATGATCTGATATTCCTGGGATTATTTCTGTTTTGTTGACAAGTGTGTGGTTTGAAAAAAGAGATCTAAAATATTGTTGTGTCTTGTGTTTTCATTTATCATTTGAGTAAGGCTATGATTTTCGATGACTTCAAGGAATTTATCATAAGTGGAGTTTGAATTAAAGCCAGATTTGTAAGAATAATTATGTTCTGAGTCCCATGTAAGTTTTGGAAAGTTAAAGTCTCCTAGAATTATTTTTGTGCCTTTAAGATTTCTTGTTAAGTCTAGTGATTTTTCAAATTCAAGTGTACTTTTTGTGTCGTTTTCATGTGGTTTATAGTAGGATGCGATGTAGAATGGTTAGTTACCTTTAATTTCTACCTTAACCCATAAAATTTCACAGTCAGTGCTTAGTTTTGGTTGTTTACATGAGATAAAGTTATTTTTTACAAGTATTAGTACACCACATCCTTTTCCGGTTTGTCTATCTTTTCGGTAGACTGTGTACCCTAGGGATGTTGAAAAGATTTCACTTGTAAAATGCTCTTTTTTCAGCCAAGACTCTGTTATGGTGACAACATCAGGGTTTTGAGAAAGAATCATACTTTGAAATTCATGCTTTTTGTACACAATAGATTGGCAATTTACACAAATAATTTTAATTTTCGAAACATAATTGTAAGTTTGTGGTTTGGATGTACTAGTGTGGGGGTGTGGGTCACATTTGTATCTGAAAGGCTTGAAAAACTATTTTGTGATGTAATGGATATTATACTTGAACTGGTGTTGGAATGGTTTAAACTATAACACAAAGTGCATGTCCATATTTTAAAATTATACTTTTATTTTAGACATTTAACAAAATGATTCCAGATGTTGATATTTTTCTTATATTTAAATATGCCTGTTAAGTGTCGAAGATTAAAGGAAAATTTAGTTTCTGGTGCAGATAAACATTATTGGTTTATTGTATCACATATAGATTAGATCAGATCAGTAACAAATTGTAAGGTACAAAATGAGTACAGAAAAGCAAAATACAAAAACAACAACTAGCCAATTACTTTCATTTACAAATGTACATAAAGACAAGACAATAAAGCAAATCAAACACAGTTACAAAAATACAAGTTTATAAACTTAAAAAATAGAACCTTTTATCGAAAAATGTAAGTCGGATACACCAAGAACAGGACAGTTGCAAGTTAAATGTTTACTGCAAACATTTAATAGCAATTTTAAGTCAAGGGAAACAACCTTAATAATAGATATGTATAGTTAACACTTGCTTGTATCCCTTATATAAGTCAGCGTACTTATTAGCAAATATTTCTCTTATGGACCGATCGACGTCGTAAATAGTTAGGTCTACCCTAACTAACTATGCGACATCAAGAACGATCTACTTAGTGAATGTGTCATTTATCTTTGATATACGACTTATTTGTAAAAATTACGGCAATAGTACTTGTCGGATCTGACTCGTATAGTCTTGGTTATCAGGAGTCGAGTTTCGAGCCTTGTACACTGTTTTGTAAGATATCAATATTAGGAACATTGTTGGTTTTCGTGTTCTTTGGTTACAGATCCCACACATTTTTTGCGATCAAAGTCAAGATGACCTTGACCCACCGACCGAAATATTCCTTTGGGTTATCAACTATTAATTTTAGTCATACTAAATCAGATGCCTTAAATTTAGACCAAACTAAAGCATTCTCTAAAAGTCTTATTTTATTGTACCTCTTAATACGTATTATTTCGCTGTCTAGAAATATTTTATCTGAATCTTTCAATTCCAAGATCATGAATGTCTAATCAGATTTGACAAAATGATGAGCAAATAATTTTCTCATTTTGTTAGAGTAGGCATTGCCTACTGAATACATGTATTTTTAAGACATACAAACAGACAGCCATAAAAACGGAAAGGCTAATTTACGTTGTAACCGATTTAATTACATATTACTCATACTGTCAAGCCGTTTGAAAAAAGACATTGCCCGTCAAAAATTATCTCGAGCGATGTCTCTGTGACACAGCTAATTCATTGGACGAAGGAAAATATTTAGTGGTGTTTAACAAATTTAGTCACTTCCGGGCATAACAAAAATCCTTGTAACATAATTAAAATAAATTGATTATTTTTCATTCGTAATAACAATAGTTTGGCAGGAGCATGCCTTTGTATGAAGGATATACTAGCGACAAACATGTTATCATATTTGATATCGGAACAGCGTACACCAAGTATGATACAATCCTCGTTAATTTGTTTTTTTTTATCCGAATACTATTACACTTGTTAAAATTTATTTTTGCTTTTTGTTGCCTAGAGAAGAATTTTAGCAAAGTTCATTAAAGAAGTCTAATAGAAAATTTAATAAGTGAAATAAATACGTTCTTAGTCTTTAAAAGTTTTATTATGGTCATTTTTACTAGATCTAAAAACCATTTCAGTTTTCTATACATAGTGAAGATGATAGCCTACTGCTTCACACTACAACATTCCAATACACCTATTTACAGTTTCATAACCAGTAGACAACAGACTATTCTTATTAGTAGAATTGTGAGTAAAGAGAACCAGTTGTGTATCTCACTGTATAAATCATATGTAAAATGGTATATACTGAGATGAAGCTAAGATCACAAGCTTTTCATTGATGTAATAAATTATAAAATCGGACATAAAATCGCCCCACACTAGCAGTTTAAAAATGGCTAAATTTGTATTGTTTTAGTATTAGATCTAGAGATATCAATTTTACTCTAAGATAAGGGAAGCAACTCATATCTTTTCACTCACTATACCTTGGTTATTTACGTAGTTCATGTAGGGACCAAGGCCATGCACATATATATTCAAGTTTATTAAGAATTTAAACATGATTGCTTCAAATGGTTTATACATAATTTATTTAAGTTTGATTGTATAGGAAGCTATAAAATTGTAGACACACTTTCAAATCCCTTCTTAGAACCAACCAGGATAGTTTTACAAATACAGAAACTTGAGAAAGCATTGTTTTGTATTTGACAGATGTGGTGTGGCAGGAGAAATGTGTCCCAGATGTATCGTACCATCACAGTTGAAAGATGAAAAAACAGGAAAGGTACTGTATAGCGTATTTAAAATGGCAGGGGCTAGCCATACTGGAATGCGGGCCTGTATTGCTAGCCAAAAGTTCTAGCCGTACATGGGTCACATATGACTAGCCTCATAAAATGCACATTTTAGGCTAGTTGTACGGTAGCAAGACACTTCACCCTCCAGACACTTCACCCCTCAAATTTTGAAGACACTTCACTCCTCAAGACACTTCACCCCCCAAAATATGTAAAACACTTCACCCCTCATCCAATTTTTTCTAAAATAAACCATAAAAATGCTTTTATATCATGTGTTTATTTTAATTATTTTTAGTTTAATTTGATACGGCTAGAACTTTGGGCTAGCAATAAGGGCTTGTATGGCTAGCCACTTTGTGTCAAAATCTAGCATACATATACTTCTTTTACTTATTTAAGTTATAATATATATTTCAAATAAATCATTTATGATTTAATAGTTTTTCAAACATTTATAAGGTTTACAATGCACTTCAACACGGGATGTTGATATATATCATTATATGTCAAAGCTGATTTACAGAATTAACTGTATTTCATTATACACATGTATACATATACATATATTGCACATGTATGCTCAGGATCTTACCGCCTCCGTGGTCGAGGGGTTAGAGTCGATGACTTCTAACCCCGGTGAGTTACCTCTCTGGCGTGGGTTCGATCCCGGGGAGATGCTTTGGTAGTTTAGCGCGGAGGAAGGTAGTCTAGTACTGGTGTAACTCTCCAGGAACGATGGTTTGGAAACTACCTGCCTATATGACTGAAATACTGTTAGGAAAAGGCGTAAAATGAAACAAACAAACAAACATGCTCAGGATCATATTGGAGTCAAAATTTTGAAAAGGCTGAATGACAATTATTATGTTAATATTGATATTGTCTTTGTATTCAAATTTGACATTTTCTTCCTGAAAATTAAGTGATTAAAATGGTTGTAGGATAAGCAGAAGGATTAAAAACTGTCCATGTTAATGTTTTACAAGACATGCTGTCTACTGGTTTCAGGTTAGAAAGTTATGGGAGTATAACACTGAAGATGAACTCTTTGAAAACTTGAAAGATTTCCTGTTTCATCTTTACTTCAGGTAAGTTTAATAGTTCCCAGAAAGTATCCTGTAGTTTGTGATATTCTGTCATCAGCTATGATTATTTGTGTTACTCTGATATATGCTAGGACATGTATAGTTTCAGTTGAAAATTCCCAACTCCAGATTAGTGGTTAAGGTGGCATATTATAATTACTGGGATGGTTGTGTGTTACAGTAGAACTGTGCTAGGGACACTTTAATTTTTCTGTAAGAAAGCTTACGGTGACACCAGAGACAAAACTCACTCAATCAATCAAATGATTAGCTTTTATGTTGGCTGTTTTGTTGAAGATTGAAAAGGAATTGAAAGCATTATTGATCTGTTAAACTTTTCCAAGGGTTTTATATATTGTATCTTATCTGATCACTTGGCCAACACAAAGCCATGTTATAGATTATGATTTAACATACTGTACAGAAACCATGATTCTGTCAGCTGATTCACCGCAGTGCCAGATAGCACATATGGACCAACTTTATTGACTGTTATGACCTGGGATTGCATGGCTTATTTGGTTTCATTAAGACTTGTCTGCTAGCCTCCAGTGAATTTTGTTGAACACTACTGTTTTATGTTAATTATGTCTCCCCCACCTCGGGGGGAGACATATTGTTTTTGCCCTGTCCGTCCGTCCGTCAGTCCGTCAGTCCGTCCGTCCATTCTTCGTTTCCGGACGATAACTAGAGTTCCTTTTGACCTACAGCCCTCAAACTTCATAGGATGATTGGTCTTATAGAGCTGATGATCCCTATTGTTTTTGGGTCAGTAGGTCAAAGGTCAAGGTCACACTGACCGTTGGTCAATTTCTCGTTTCCGGATGATAACTAGAGTTCCTTTAGACCTACAGACCTCAAACTTCATAGGATGATTGGTCTTATTGAGCAGATGATCCCTATTGTTTTTGGGGTCAGTAGTTCAAAGGTCAAGGTCACAGTGACCGTTGGTCAATTTCTCGTTTCCGGATGATAACTAGAGTTCCTTTTGACCTACAGCCCTCAAACTTCATAGGATGATTGGTCTTATAGAGCAGATGATCCCTATTGTTTTTGGGGTCAGTAGGTCAAAGGTCAAGGTCACAGTGACCGTTGGTCAATTTCTCATTTCCGGATGATAACTAGAGTTCCTTTTGACCTACAACCCTCAAACTTCATAGGAAGCATCTTCTCATACAACCTTAACAATAGAAACCATCCATAGACAGCCTTCATTGAAGTGACTACCGGGTATTTACATTATCTTATCTCCATTTCCATTCCTGTTTCCATTCACAGTTATTCTCAGCAGTGGGGGAGACATGCGCTTTTTTACAAAAGCATCCTCTAGTTAAAAAATATTTTTAATCTTTCTAATTAAAGATATTGCATTATGTATACCAGAGGTACAATTATAGTATTCTACACTTCATAATGTGTTGATTGTATTTATGGACCTTTCCGGTGTTTACAGTTTTATGTAAATTGGCTAACTTGTTATCCAATCGCTATACTGAGATAATACATGTACATAGTCACTGGTTGACCTTGTTTGCACAAAGAGCACGTGCTTATGTTTGTGATACTGTTTGTGAGCAGTTGACCTAGCAATGAATGGAAAAATGTGGCTAAATGTTCTGCTACGAAAAACTGGAAAGGTCCATTGATGCGTTCAACTGGAAAGATTTGCAATATGGTCCTATATAATTATGTCCTTATACAGCTATTCATGTAGAATTCCCATTCTGATATCATTCTTTTTATTTAGCAATTATTCATTACATTATCTAATGACAACTTTACTCAGCAGACTAATCATTTTCATGTACAACTTGTCATTTTTTGGGAAGGAGGGCTTTTGTCCGGTTGTGCTTTTGTCTGTTTCCATATTTGTATATATAACCTGATCTGCTAGGTGAGGGTTATATTGCTAAGAACCATTTATATACAATCATATTACCTTTCACCAAAGTAACAATGCAGCAAACGTCCTGTATGACAGAAAAAATGAAATTAATTCATAAATTAACAGCAGCTTTTATAAATATAAGCATCGCGGTTATCCAATGAAAAGTAATGTTACAAACATGCAGTGTCTTAAACTTCTCTCTTATTATTTCAGACATTTGTTGATTAACCCAAAGGACAGGCGAATGGTTGTATGTGAGTCACTGCTATGTCCCGCCTCTTTCAGAGAAACATTGGCGAGGGTTCTCTTCAAACATTTTGAGGTAACTTGTTAAAGTGTTGGTGAGACTTTACACTTTAGCAATCCTGCTGGGTTTTGTAAACGACTTGTCCTGCTTTGATTTTAGCACTATCAATTGTTAACTTTTTGTTAGTGGCCACATGGCCAAGTGGATAATTTATCTGACTAGTAAATCTAGTGATTCCTGGTAAAGCTGTTGATTCCTTAAGCAAAAACTTTATACTCATTGCTCAGTGCAGACTTTGATAGAAATGTGTGTTAATATCTTTTTAAATAGTAATTACTTATATAAACAGTTAATAGTAAAGATTCAAACCAAATTCATGCACATTTTATGTGAGAGGCATATGCTATACTAGTTAAGTATTACACCTGTCATTTCCATGGTGCACTTTTTCTTGTAAAGTTGCTATCATTAGCATAATCTCTGTATTCTTGCACTAACCAAATTCAGTAATATTATAACATTCACTTAACACCAACCATTCTAGATTTCACTAAGTACTAAAATTTACAGCAGGAGTAAAAACAACTGTTGGTACATAATAATTTAATTCTTAAAAAGTGTTTATTAGCTATGTTTAAAATAAGCATAAAATACTTATTTAATCTTACCGCACTTAATATCTGAAATGGACTTGCCCATCATTGAATCTGGACATGATCATCATTTTTAGAGACAATTTAAATGTATGTACTGATGGAATAGTGAACACAGTGCACACCATGATCAGACAGGAAAGATGTACTGGCTGATCAAGGTCTGCACTGGTCACATGACTATATTTAGTTGCTAGTAGGCTAGGTTAATGTTCTCTAATTTTATTTTGAACATGTGTAATGTGTTAATAATGTGTTAATGTTTATATTTCAGGTCGGTTCTGTGATGTTTGCACCATGTCAGTTAACTGCATTGTTAACGCTGGGAACTAGTACTGGGCTTGTGATGGATGTGGGCTATAATGAAACATTAGTTGTACCAGTATCCTTTACTTACTATTCAACAGTTTAACTCTAAATGATGGTGCTTACTATACTAAACTACAAAACTAAAAATTCTTTAAGAATAGGCCTCTTTGAATAGGAAAGAAATTGGCATGGGTTTAAAGGAACTCCACAAGGGTCCAAAAGTTTAAAAAGGTAATATTGCAAGGATCCAGTGCTGAAATTGATTTTTAGCTCGACTTTTCTATGAAAAGGGGAGCTATCCTACTCGCCCCGGCGTCGGCGTCGGCGTTGGCGTCACACCTTGGTTAAGTTTTTCGTACCACCCCACTTTATTTCAGAAGTATTACAAGTATGGCTTTGAAACTTACCATACTTGTTCACCATCATAACCTCCATCTACAGACAAGAGTACATAACTCTGTCAAGGTTTTTGACAGAATTATGGCCCTTTTTTGACTTAGAAAGTGTATTGAGCTTGGTTAAGTTTTTTGTACCACCTCACTTTATTTCAAAACCATTGGAGGTATTGCTTTGAAACTGACCATACTTGTTTACCATCACGACCTTCATCAACAGACAAGAGGACATAACTCTGTCAAGGTTTTTGACAGAATTATGCCCCTTTTTGACTTAGAAAATACATTGAATATGGGTAAAATCCACTTATTGCCTTAACCCTTTGAGATATTGCTTTGAAACTTTTAATGCTATTTCACATCATTACCCCCATCTGTACGCAAGAGAAGGTAACTCTGTCAAGGATTTGTTTTAAAAATTAAGGCCTTTTATCGACTTACAATGTGTGAAAGAGATCCACTTGTGACCAACTGACAACATCTAAAAAAGCTTGATAAAATTTATCTATTACTTGTATTATAAGGTAACTATAATACTTTCACATACAAAGTCAAATCTATATATTATGCTGATTGTACAAAAATATACTGCTTCCTTGGCATAGATTTCTTGAAAAATTATGTTATTATGTCATTTACCAAGGTGTTCTGAGTGACGTAAAAATACCTTATTCTCTCAAAGTGGGTTTAATACTATTAAATTTATTTAAGGCTCAACTCAGTTTTTTTTTCTTTCTTACCAGCCCTCTTTTGACTTAAACATTTCAAACTTTGCTGCAGTGTTCAAGGGTATCACACAATTCAGTAAAATAATTCTTCACTAAATATCTTAATGCTCATGGCCATTGTTCACTTTAAAAATACAGAGATTCTTGTATTGCCTTTTACTGCAAAAACTTTTTTTATTGGCAAGCAATAAAAAAGTCGAGCGCGCTGTCTTACGGACAGCTCTTGTTATAAAGCTAGCCTGCTGTAACCTCAATATGGTCACTTAAGAAATAAGTTTTGTATATTGTATCAATCTGTTAGTTTTGATTATGCTTGTCTTATTTAATTTTACCCATGAAATATGGTGCTATATCAGTCAAATATATTTAGTATTTGATAAAAATGAATATGAAATATAACTATGAAAGTGGGCGGATTCAAAACTCATATTTATTTCAAGGGACTTCTTTCGCCATTTTGTTTGAAAAAAATGATAAATAAAAAACAACTTTTTGATGAATTTTGTTTTGAAAACTGTCTAGAATGATAGAAAATGGTCTAACTAAGAAATAAATCAGAACACCAATATCTTTAATTCATTCATTACCGCTGTACAGATGTTTAAATAGTTGATTACATGATGTCACAATGAAGCGCGAAACAGGGTGTGCAAAAACAGTCAAAACAATATATTACTGTACAAGTGCAGTTGCGTAGCAAGCAAGGGGATTCTCACCATTTTTCTTTGATAATGAAATTAAATAAAACAGTTATTTTTTTTCTTTTTTCATGAAATATGGTATATATTTTCACTCAACATGATAAAATGCCACATATTTTCACTTGCCGTCCCAGCTCATGAAAACGTGGCATTTATCATGTTTCGTGAAAGTATGAATTCCATATTTTACTCAAATGAAAAAATATCCTCTTATTATTTATATTTTTGTTATTATATTAGGGACTTAGAAATTTGACACAAATGAATACCAAGAGATAAGATAGTATGTATCTTGTACATGTATAAACTATTTTTTTAAGTTATAACTGTAAGATCAAGGTCAAATATAGGTTAAAATAGCTTATCCAGATCAATATTTTGTCATGGGGCCTCTGTGGCCATGTGGTCAAGGTCACCAATCTTAAATGACTTGCCCCTTACCACTTTGGGGTTAAATCCATTAAGGGACCTTGAATCCTTCATGTGAGAAATCTAGCTTATGGAAGGTCAGTGGTTCTTCTGCTATTAAAAAAATGCATGAAGCGAGGCATGTCTGTGGTGAACATTTTATTTATAACAATAATAATAAAACCGTAAATTGCAATTTCTGATGGTAATAGAAATGTATACATGTAAATGGATGAAACTTTTGTTTATTTTTACTGATATCATACAGGGTTTTAATTATAAACAGATTGGCAATCCATATTTTGTATCTTTATAATGAACATTTTGTTATTTAAACTTGCCTGGGAAGGGCCTTCATTAATGTTGGTAAAACTTGTGGCCCAACCCATTTGCTTCAAACTGTTAACATACATGTTTCCTTATCCGTATTTATTGTATTCTGTTTTGTATTAATGTAATCTTCATGTTACATGTACATGTTTCAAGCAATAAAATATGATTAAATCAAATGCTGTTAAAATTGTTTGTATTTTCAGCCTGTAAATTGAAATATCCCCCTTGACTCTTCTTTCATTGGCATTGTTGCCTCAGATAAAAATGATAACCCTGATCATGGACAATATTGACTTCTTTCACTATTATTTCCTTAACCAGTATTCCTCAGGTATATGAAGGTATTCCTGTACTAAAGGCTATACAGTCACTGCCAGTAGCTGGTAAAGCTATACATGAGTAAGTATTATAAACATATAGGTTTGTGTCTAAACTTTCTTTACAATTCTTTATATTAAACTTTAGCCTCATGGTGGGTACAGAATTTACTCATGTGACCAGTGCAGACCAAGGTCAGCTGACACATTAGTGTTCTGCATTGTTCGTAAATCAGTCTTTTTAATATGATCACAAAGGTAATGCCGTGAAATTTTATACTATGCACTCAAACTCCTTTGCTTTGACAGGGAAAGAATGCAGTATTAAACTAATTTTTGTTCCAAATAAGGTTATGTCTCTTTGTTGCTGCTTGCAATCAGTATTTAATTTGAAAACTTTTTTCTCTAAAATTAAAAGTGCATAGTATGTTGTGGAAAGAACTTTCAATTGTGTGTGAAAATTTATGTATTTAAGTTAACAAATCGCTGTCTTTGATTATTAAGAGAAACTGAGCATTATAAAAGGTAGTTTTTATCATTCTTATAGTTGTAACATGTTTTGTATGTCTTGAAATATTTAATATTATAGAAGAGCAAAGCAGATTTTGCTGACAGAAGGCAAAGTGAAAACTGGAAGTATAGAAAAACCTGTCTCAGAACAAAGAGGTAATATTATGTGATTTTATTTCTTCAAATGTGCAAACTTTAAAAAAAACAACAGAGTAACCATTAGTCCTATCAACTTACACCATGAAGTTAAACCATACTATTAGTATTACTTTAGCAACATTCGCATATTGTTTCATTAATCATACCATTTTATAGTAACATTCACATGTCATTTCAATAATAATACCTTTTCTTAGTGCAATTTCTCATATCGTTTCATTAGTCATACCTTTTCTTAGTGAGATTCTCATATCGTTTCATAAGTCATAACCTTACATAGTGAGATTTATCATATCGTTTCAATAGTCATACCTTTACTTAGTGAGATTTCTCATATCGTTTTAAAGTCATAACCTTACTTAGTGAGATCTCTCATATTGTTTCATTAGTCATACCTTTTCCTAGTGAGATTTCTCATATTATTTTATTAGCCATACCTTTCCTTAGTGAGATTTATCAAATCATTTCATTAGTTATACCTTTACTTAGTGCAATTTCTCATATCGTTTCATTAGTCATACCTTTTCTTAGTGAGATTTCTCAAATCATTTTATTAGTCATACCTTTTCAGAGTGAGATTTCTGATATCATTTTATTTACCCAGTTAAAATTAGTCACACAAATTTGTCCTTGGAATTAAGAACAATCGATTGTTTGCAGGTTTGTCATAATGGGGGCAGTTGCAGGTCAAAAATGATTGTCTCAAATGCATTTTTGGCTGCCTCAAAACTTAGATAACAGTCAATATTTTATGCCATACAACATAAATGAACCTGTTTTGACTTTAAACTACTTACATTAAGAAAACAATAATAAAAGTGTGGGTAATGCCGTGTGTAGGCTAGTTTGGCTCTATACATGTGGCATTGCGATGTCACCAACACTTCTAGCTCTTAGAGAATTAGTTCAGTAGAAATCCTGTTTGTATAAATGTCATAAAAGTTTCACTAAACTTTGTACAACAAAGAAATTGATGATGAGGTATCATGTAATGTTACAACCACTGTAAAGCTTGATAAGATTTGATACCATTGAATTCTAAATCTACTCTAGTTAATAGTGTGTCTAGACTTCATCAATGCAATTAAAATACCAAATAACAGTTCATTTAACATGGCAATATTACTAAAACAATTAGTATTATATGGATTATTAATTTATCATTGTAGATTGCCTGACTGAAGATGTTCTAGAGGACATTAAAGGTATGTCAATAATCTGTAGATTTTGATTTGTTTCATCAACAGCAGTACTCCTTATAAGATATGTTGAATGTTCAAGACCTTTAAATCATATAAAGATAATATTTGTTTATTTGGTGTTTTTCTTATAGAGTTAATGTGAATAATCTACTCGAAGTAAAGACCTTGACTTGTTCAGATATCCAGTCTTTTTTTATAGGAGTCTATAGATCCTATTATAAGACAAATTGTATTGTATAAAAGGAAAGAAAACTGTTTTATATGTCATTAGTTTCCTTCAAAGGTTTTAAAGTAACTAAGCAACAGACCTAATAAAGTGTAATTTTACCTATTCAAGAGTAAATGGTGTGTGTATAGGTAGAAGTCAAAAAAATTACATTTTGCCATAAAAAAATGATTTCCAACTTTTATATATTACTACGCTTAGATAATCAACAACCCATATGACAAATGAACATTTCAATGGATTTTGTAAGGCATTTATCAGTCACTTTCAGTTGATTAAAAGATTGCGAACAGCGTGGATCCTGATCAACTGCGCGGATGCGCAGGCTGGTCTGGAACCATGCTGGTCACAAACCCATTATGTTGGTTTTGTCTTGACGCGGTTCATTTGAATTATCAATTATTGGTCAATCATAAATATAATTCATCTTTTTGTAAAATATATTTCCAATTTAGATCAACTTGACACTGACAAAGATGAGCATAATGTCTCCTTAAACTGACATTATGTCCATCTGAGTGTGGTGGTGAAAAGAACATAATAACTTTAAATCTTGTGAAAATTGTTTTGATTCATTGTTTTGTTACTCAAAACCACCAATAACTCATGTGACCCACATGAAAATTGATATATAACCTTAGTAAGTTATTGGTTAAGTTCATTTTTATAAAAAGAGTGGGGCAGTCATTTTATATTATAGGTAGTTTTTACAGTTTACCTGAATCATTTGAGCCTTGCCATGACAAAACGAACATAATTGGTTTGCGACCAGCATGGATCCAGACCAGCCTGCGCAGTCAGATCAGAATCCATGCTGTTCGCTATCAGTTTCTCTACTTGCAATAGAGTTGGTAAGGGAACAGCATGGATCCTGATCAGACTGCGTGAATGTGCAGGCTGGTCTGGATCCATGCTGGTCGCAAACACACTATGTTGGTTTTTGTCATGGCGCGGCTCATTTGTCATTATCAATTGGTGGTCAATCCGCATTATAATTATCAATCTTTATAAATTTATAGGTAAATCAGCTCAAATTAACAATGGAAAAATAAGCATAATATCACTAATTTTCTTTTTTTCATACTCATTGTCAAGTTACTTTGAAAAAAAAAACCTGAAGGGAACATTAATTTAGCCTGAGTTAACTAATGAATAATATTTTACAGAAGTCGAAGTGTTTTAGGTATCTATTTTCTTTCAGGTGGGAAAAAATTTTCCAAACACAATTAAGAACGTCTTATGTTACATACTTATTTGCAAGAAGGAAATGACTGCATTTGTTTTAACAGGGTTTTAAAATTAGACATATAATCAGTGAAAGTAAATTACAAGCATAATCTGGAATGTTCAATTCAATTACTATTTAATATGGCTACATGTCAAATTATTTTTGCAAAGCAATATATGCAGTCGCCTTCAGGGCCATTCAGTACATATGAGCAGCAATTACCGCAGACGCTTCAATTTAACGGATCTAGTTTCTTAATTTCTTTTTTGATTTAAATTATGCCAAGTAGTAAAAGTGGTTGTCCCTGGATATTCCTCATACATCTTTTTGTTAAGGGGTTTGAATCCCTTAGAGACATTTAATTCTATTATTAGTTGATACAAGTCTAGTTATCCTATATAATTTTGATGGGTCTTTCACAGATGCCTGCAGGGGAATTAAATAGTAAAAGTGAGAGCATTTACAATAGCATTAAGGCTTGTTTAATATCATGAAAGGATAAGAACTTTAAGAAAGTTGAAAGTAAATATTTCCCCAATACTTTATAAAGAAATTTGATAGCACTTGCAGATATAATTACTTCACTCGTGGTAATTGATTTTATACCTGCAAGACACAATAAAATGTTATGACTCATTAGAAGAAGTTTAACCAGGTAATTAATTGATGTAGCTCTGGTAATTAAATCAGTCGTAATGGATACTTTTATTTTGTTGTTGTTTTAAATAATTTCCTGCACTTACAGTGAGATGTTGTTTTACGACTAAATTTGATCGGGCAAAGAAGATTCACAGAGTTACGATGTTTGGGGAGAATGAGAGTAATGTAAGTAGATAATGCTGTGTTAACATTGTGTTATAATTCTGGCTAAATGATTAAACAGGGTGAGGAATCAATGTTGACAATTTTGTGAGAGTTTTCCCAAGAGTAAGAATAAGGAAACAAATTATATTAGAACTATAGCAATTTTGAAGATGATCTCTCACATACCAGATTCTAAAGATGTGTGGTTCTACCAAGGTGCCTGATCATACATTAAGTAATGCAGAGAGGGACATCTGATATAGCTAGACAGCTGCCAGATTATCTTAACTGTCATGATGTGATTAAAACTTATCTAAGAAAAAAATGTAGGTTAATATTTTAATATGGGCATACAATTTTAAAGAAAGATGGTATAAGAATCATTGCCACCATTTAAATGAGGAACACAATGTAATGAGGTCAATCCTGAAATGCAGTCAGTTATTTGAGAAAGGAATAAGCTGTGGTAGGGACATTGGCAATGGTAAATAGATGACAACTATTGATATTGAGGTCATTTGATTAAAGTCCAAGTGCCATTAAAATCTTTGTCCGAACACTTCATATGAGAAGGAATAAGCTTAAATATATTCAACTTCATAAGGACATCACATTGTCTGTTGCCAGTAGATGATCCTTATTTATTTTGAGGTCATTAGGTTATATGTATGTTCACAATTACACTGAATAGTCTGTATGATCAATAACTAGAGAGGAAATAAATAAGCCATGGTTTATGTAACTTTGGAGGGACACTGCCAATGGCCAATATATGACACCTATTGATTTTAAAGAAGTTTGGTCAAGTTCAGTTGATGTGAAATCTCTGTCACAGATTTCTAAAACATATTAATAGTAATTCTATTTATATATATATTAATGTAACACTTGACAACTATGGAATAAGAACAAGCATGTAAATATGCTACTGTGAAAGGCAAATTAATTTGGACAAAGGTGTCACATTGACACAATCCAGTTTTGTTAACCAGGTTTTCAATTTTGAAAATCCTGGTTATTAGATTGGGGTATGGCGGGCGGATGGGCGGCTGGGCGGATGGGCGGGCGTCAAACGAAATTGTGTCCGCTCTGTAACTCTTCAACCCTTTGAAGAATTTTGATGAAACTTCAGACAAATGTTTACCACATCAAGATGACGTGCAGAACGCATGTTCCGCATGGCTGGCTCCAAGGTCAAGGTCACAGTGACATTAACATTGAAAATCCTGTCCGCTCTGTAACTCTTCAACCCTTTGAAGAATTTTGATGAAACTTCAGACAAATGTTTACCACATCAAGATGACGTGCAGAACGCATGTTCCGCATGGCTGGCTCCAAGGTCAAGGTCACAGTGACATTAACATTGAAAATCCTGTCCGCTCTGTAACTCTTCAACCCTTTGAAGAATTTTGATGAAACTTCAGACAAATGTTTACCACATCAAGATGACGTGCAGAACGCATGTTCCGCATGGCTGGCTCCAAGGTCAAGGTCACAGTGACATTAACATTGAAAATCCTGTCCGCTCTGTAACTCTTCAACCCTTTGAAGAATTTTGATGAAACTTCAGACAAATGTTTACCACATCAAGATGACGTGCAGAACGCATGTTCCGCATGGCTGGCTCCAAGGTCAAGGTCACAGTGACATTAACATTGAAAATCCTGTTTACATGATTTTAACTTGATTTGGCAGTCAAAGGTCATATCATCTTTGGAGGTAATTTAAAAAAGATATGATATATTATTTCATGTCTACTTTGTAACTTGAAAATTTTAAAAAATTTGAACTTTTCACAGAACCTTGGTCACCAGGTGCCCTGCGGCATATTGTCGGGGTTTTGCGATTGGATAATATTTGACCTAATTATTGCCCTTTGTTTTTTTTCCTTATATAGAATATATAGTGAACAATTTCTTCTGTGCTGAACTCCCTCTACAATTCTCAACGGATTTTGTTCAAACTTTCACAGAAGCTTTGTCATCATGTGCCCTGGCGCATATTGTCAGGGTTTTGTGATTGGATAATATTTGATCTAATTATGGCCCTTTGTTTTTTTTCCTTATACAGAATATATAGTGAACAAATTCTTCTGTGCTGAACTTGTCCTACATTTCTCAACGGATTTTGTTCAAACTTTCACAGAAGCTTTGTCACCAAGCACCCTGGCACATATTGTCGGGGTTTTTGATTGGATAATTTTTTACCTAATTATGGCCCTTTGTTTTTTTTCCTTATACAGAATATATAGTGAACACTTCTTCAGTGGCAATTCCTCCTACATTATTCATGTTTTACATTGCACATAGTTACATTGTTTGTTGCTTGTATTTGTATTTCAAATACAACATATTTATCTGCAATGGTGATAATTGAAAACCTGGTTTCATGGCATTGCCATGTTTCTTGTTTTGTTTTTAAATGCTGTAATGCATAAGAAAGATTGTTGTTGTTTTTATTGTATCTACGGAGTAGTGGCGACATATAGGGATCACTTCTCCGTCGTCCGTCCGTCTGTCTGTCCGCACTCACAGGACAGTAATTATGTGGCTAGAGGGACAATAGGTAACTGTACTTTCTCTTTGATGTCATTCATTCCGTAATGCTTTTATGTGGCTATTTTCTTTTGTGTGGCTAAAAAGAACAATAGAGAGAACAATAGAGTAGCCACATTATTACTCTCCTGTTCGAACATCCGTCTGTCCGTCCGTCACAAAACTTGTCCGGACTACTCCTCATAAACTACTGGTGCAATTTCATCCAAACTTTACAGGAATGATCAGTACCAAGTCTAGTTGTGCATATTGTCAGCATTTTCCGGTTCAATGATTTTTGTCAGAGTTATGGCCCTTTAATAAGTTTTATTTATAAAGTTTGTCCGGACCACTTCTCTTATACCACAAATGCAATTTCAATGAAACTTTACAGGATTGATTTGTAGCTCAAGTCCTTGCGCATATTGAAGGGTTTTTTGGTTGAATGATTTTTGGCCGAGTTATGGCCCTTTGATAAAAAGGTGTTTTTTTCTGTGTGTTGCCAATTACACAAAAGCTTGTCCGGACTACTCCTTATAAACTACTGGTGCAATTTCATCCAAACTTTACAGGAATGATCAGTACCAAGTCTAGTTGTGCATATTGTCAGCATTTTCCGGTTCAATGATTTTTGTCAGAGTTATGGCCCTTTAATAAGTTTTATTTATAAAGTTTGTCCGGACCACTTCTCTTATACCACAAATGCAATTTCAATGAAACTTTACAGGATTGATTTGTAGCTCAAGTCCTTGCGCATATTGAAGGGTTTTTTGGTTGAATGATTTTTGGCCGAGTTATGGCCCTTTGATAAAAAGGTGTTTTTTTTTCTGTGTGTTGCCAGATACACAAAAGCTTGTCCGGACTACTCCTCATAAACTACTGGTACAATTTTATCCAAACTTTACAGGAATGATCAGTACCAAGTCTAGATGTGCACTGTCCGTCTGTCTGGCCGTCTGTCCGTCTGTCACAAAACTTGTCCCAACATGAAATTGGCCATCATGAGGCGACACATGTGATCACTGATCGCTCTTGTCTTAATGTCACATCAACTCTGTAAAGGTCATATGGCGAAGACCTCAGGTGCCCCTCTGTATAGGATTTCAGGCACAAGCGGGCACCTGAGTAGAACCACTGACTTCCGTAAGCTAGCTGGATAGCTACCTTACATAAAGGAATCCATAGTCCCTGGCATGATGATGATTCAAACCAACAGTGGTGAGGGGCATGTTGTTTGAAGTCAACCTTAACCACTCAGCCACGGACACACCGGGTACAGTCACACCAGAAAGAATCTTGTTTAATAATTAGACATTTAAAATTTCTGATAGTAATTTCATTGCACTTGCTTTTCATTACTATTTAGAAATACTAAAGATGCATTTACCTATTAAAAAGCATTAAAATGAATGATGATTTTACTCATGTGCTTGTTTAAAGTGTGTGGAGTTGTTTGAAGTGAGACTCTGAATTATCACACACTAAAATACATAGTAGTTTAATTATACATAAACATATTTGACAGCTTCCAACACCACCTCCCAGTGTTCAGTACCCACTAGATGGAAACAGTATGTTACATGTGGATGGTAAAGTCAGAGAGCATGCTTGTGAAGTGATGTTTGAACAAGATAATGAACAACAATCTATAGCCACACTTATTCTTGATGCTATTGTCCAGGTAAACTTTATTTGCTTGATGCAACAATACACTTTAGTGACAATACTCATTCATACACAATTCTGTTTATTTCATGCAGAAAAAACATTGTGTATGCAATGAGTCTGTGCTTACAAGTACACATGTTTATTGCTGATGAGGAATGAACAAAATCTGCATTAAAATGGTGGCCAGCAACTTACTCAAAATCAGCCTTATTTGGCAGCCGGTAACCTAAAAATCATGAAATTCAACAAACACCTGTGTGAATTACGTCCCTGAATTATGGTGAAACAGATAATTTTGCTAAATTTTCTGCAGAAATCAGACAGTTAATGAGTTATTCAAGGGACCTTGTAATTATTTCAATTTGGACAATGCACGGATGAAAATGTCATCAATGTCCACGGATGAATTTCAGGCCATTCTATGGCTGCCATAATAAAGTTATCTTATATAACAAGAAGTGCATGAGGTTAGAATTGATAATAAACATTCAACTACAATGTTTATTATACTCTTGTGTTAGAACATTTTTTGTTAGAACTATTTAAAGCTTGTGCAATTTAGACTTTTGTGTGTCAGTGTGTGTGTGTCTATTTTAAATATTCAATGAAATATTTATAAAAAGAAGTAAAGGTAAAAATACCTGACTTACAGGATTTGATAATTGATACTTTTTGCTTCTTTGCCTTTTGTGTAAAGCAGTTTCTTTATAATACAATTTCAGAGTCCTATAGATATGAGGAAAGAGCTATCGCGGAATATAGTGATTATAGGAGGGACATCAATGTTGCCCGGCTTCTTACATCGTATACAGCTGGAGCTGCAGAGTCTTATACAGGAGCCGAGATACGTTAATTTTCTAGCTATTAAAAAATTTAGATTTCATCAACCACCTGCAAAAGCTAACTATACTGCTTGGCTTGGAGGTAAGCTTGATTATTTTAGAGTCAAACTTTTTATATGGTGTCTTGTAAGGCTCCCACGATTACACGTTTAAACGGATTCGTTTCGATTTTCATTCATAAATGTTTACGATATTGTTTACCATTTAATCGAAATGACCATATTGTCTTACAAAATTTCTTAATCATTGCCTGTAATCATGGATTTTATCAATTCTAATGGTTTATTCCAAAGTAAACAAACGGAAAATGGGTGTTTACAACCCTCCACACAGCATTACCGTGCAAAATTGCTTGTGACATAATACATTTTTGGTAAAAAATGGGGTTACAATGCAAAATCAAAGCACAGAAGGCGCTGAATTTGTTTGGGTCTCAGAATGTCAGAAAGGTGAAGGTTGTGAGATTATAAACCAATTTGTTTGTCAAGTGTCACTAAATTCTGTTTCCAGTGTTATAACTCTAGTAAATTGGCTATAAGACTAATTGCAACACTGATATTCAATTCAACTTTTATTTGGCTTAATCAATTAAAAAACAACAAAAAACAAAAACAAAAAAACATAAATTGCCTTAACTGGGATTTGACCGGACCTCTCGCTTCTAAAGCGAGCATGTAAACCCCACGACCACGGGGAATTTAAGAGAAAACCATATTATTCTTAATTAGAGTTTGTAACCCTTATTAATTTCGATATATTTTGTTCAAGGTAAACCTAGTTTAACACTGAAGTAAATAATCATGGAGCTGAATATAAGCATGTATATCTATAAGAATTACACAATATTAGAAATATTCGACCAATCGGGAACTATTTTTTCGTTACGAAAATTAATGCGCTTGTCATTTGACAATCTTTACGCAGTGATCTCCCCTTACCTTTTGGACGTTAATGTACATATGAAGGGAAGTAACCGCTTCGAGGAGTTTGGACTACTTTAGGCATTTGCAAATAAGAACATCAGGGTCTGAAATTTCGCTACCATTATTTGTTTGGTCTGACGACCCAAACAAATAAAAATGTGTGCTGACTCAATCGTGATGAGCCTTGCACATTCTTTATTTGTACATGTATTAAAAATAGAAAGAAAGACATCATTTGGCGACTCAAATACATGGTCACTGGTGTGTATAGTACACAGAGGTACCACCATTTAAACGGTATCGTTTCGGTTCTTAGCAGTCGTGTAAACGTTTACAAAAATTGTAAACGTGGGAGCCTTAGTGTCTTGGAATACTGGTAGTATTATGTGATTGTCCCTGGTGCAGGGGTGGGCGAGTGACATAGAGTTTTGTCTGGAGCAATTCTTGAATATGCATGGGCAGGTTTTAGTATTACTTGATACAAATATTGCATGCATTCAACAGGTCTCTAAGTCAACAGTCAAAGGTCAGACCTAATAAGGACTAACAAGGGTTGTCGTTAACACAGATATGACTGTACAGTGTTTCCCATGTCAAATTTATATCATTTTTGAAAGTGACATTATGCCCATCCATGGGTAGATATAGAGTGAACAGGTGAAAGTCAAAATAAGTTAATATTTTCTCATAAGTCCTTTCAATTTTATAATTTACTTGACATGAACGATAAATAACTCACTAGGCCCTGTGAAATGAGTGTAATTATCCGTCGGAATGTATCTGTAACTTTCAATTTATAAAAAGAGTGGGGCAGTCTTTTTATATAGTTAGGTAGATTTATTTTTTACCCTACACATTTTCAAATATCATGTGATGGTCAATCACCATTATAACGACCAGTTTATTGAAATATATAGTCAATTAAAGTCAATTTGACAATGAAAAAATTGACATAATGTCACTTTAAAGTCTTGGACTTTTTATTGGATAATATGCTAAAAGTGATTGTTTACTGTTTGTATATTCACAATCTTCTTAAAACAATAAATTGCAATAAACAAATAGATAATTAATAGAATTAAGTGATAAACAAAAAGATCATAGTAATTGTTTACTAAAAAGACAAGTTAGCTTCTTTAAAAAGAAGCATGCGAGTGGTCTTTTTGCAGCTATGGAAGATTTGTTGAATTCGAAAATATTTGGAGATATTTTTGCATAAAAGGCACAATAAATGTTTATAAATTACAATTATTTAACATAATAGAATTAATTATATATTTTGAATATAGTATCATAATGAAAATTTGTTTAACACTTTAAATGTTTTGAAAGATTATATGCCGGAGAAATGGACATTTTCTTGGTACATCAGTGATATTTTTCTGCAAATGGAACAATTTATGTTATCAAACTAAATTTAAAGTAAATGGAAAAAAAAATCTCGTAGATATTGATTATAATATCATATGGCGTAAAAAAAATAATGGTTTACTTTTATAATTTCAGTATTAAAATATAAAACAATATCATACAGTATTAAAATGTTGTATAATTATTATTTCAGGATTTAACATCTTACAAAATAAAAAATATTGTATTATTATAATTTCTGGATTAAAATATCAAAGATTCAAACAAAATAAGAGCATTGTATTATTCAGGATTAAAATATCTTACAAAATAAGAATATTGTATAATTCAGGATTAAAATATCTTACAAAATAAGAGTATTGTATTATTCAGGATTAAAATATCTTACAAAATAAGAATATTGTATTAATTCAGGATTAAAATATCTTACAAAATAAGAGTATTGTATTATTCAGGATTAAAATATCTTACAAAATAAGAATATTGTATAATTCAGGATAAATATATCTTACAAAATAAGAATATTTATATTATTATAATTTCTGGATTAAAATATCAAACAAAATATGAATATTGTATTTTTCAGGATCAAAATACATGTATCTTATAAAATAAAAAAATATTTATATTATTTTAATTTCAGGATCAATGTTTGGAGCATTGGATACTCTAGCTAGTAAAAGTGTTAGTAGGGACCAATACAAGGAGACAGGACAACTGTCAGACTGGTGTACACTTTCACAATTAAAATGAACCCAACTATATTCAACTGTTGAACTTACTGAACCATGTCTGCATATGGATTTTGTTAATTTATTGGTGCAACAACTGCCTACAAACATCTTGTCAACAAATAACTGTCAACAAATATATTTCAGATTGCTTTAACATGACATTAACTGCTATTAATAATACTTACTAGTTCACACTTTTGTACGTAAATATTATAAACTGGAACAAATTTTTAATATATTACAGTCTGTCATTGGAAGTGTAAACAATTTCCATATCAGTATGATAATTTGAGTAGATAAGTGTATTTTGACTAGTCAGAATGCTTGAAAACACAGACTGTCTTTGCCATTTACTAGTGGCTGTAGCAAGTCAGTTAGCTTTAAGTTATGTGGCAGAAGGTGTATTAAATTTTATTTATTAGGTTTCAGAGAACTCAGAAGTGAAGTTTGCTTAAATATTTTTACTTTATTAAAAGTGGTACTTGGATACTAATAAGATATTATTCATTTGTAAGTTTATGTTAATGTATGCCATTATTTAACCTTTTTTAAGTTTTTTTTTTAAATGTTTTATGGAGCTGGGTTTTAAAAGTTAGAAGTTGATTTTCTGGAACTTTCAAAAGTTGTTGCATTTCAGTTGGTATTAGGTAATTTCTCAGTCAAGTTATCACTGTCACTATTCATTGATGTGTCATTCTCGTATGCTGTATGCTGAAAATCTTTATTTCACTTCTTTTTACGTGAGTTTAAATAGGGAAAACAAATCAAAGTGGAGAGCATGTCCAAACATCATGGTCTATATTCTAAAAAAAATTTTAACTGTCAGTTTATACAAAATTTTCAACTTTATTTTAGAAGTCAGTTCATATCAGCAATGTATGAACATAACCTTAACTGTATGGTAGTGACTTATAATGCAACCAAACAAAAAAGAAAGTTTTAAACCCTTCAAAATTGTATTAAAAGCCAAATCAATGTAACGGAATGAAAAATATTTTAGTTTCCCCTAGATATGATCTAGAGAGAGGTTGTTGTTTTCTCTCCACCACTCGTAAGTAAGAAATCTTAAGAAAGTCTTGCATTTAGGAGAGATTTGTGTTGACAGTGATTGGTGTGAGGGAGACAATTTGTTGCTATTGAGATGTATACGACAGTCACCTCTTGTCTCCGACGATGAACCGTATGTCAGCGAAATTAATCCCGCGAGATTTTGTCCTGATAGTTGTTTATAGGAAAACAAAGACATGTGATGAAGGCTGGAGAGGAATGGAAATTAGATTATTTCTAGTTGAATGCATGCTCAGCAATCCTACACTCTCAATTAAGTAAATTGTAGAGGAAGTTTAATGGTGGAATGATTGTTTTGTGATGAAAAAGTGCATTTGATACTGTCAAACTTGTGGGTCATTGTAGCCAATGAATATGTAAAAGGTCACTATCTTTTTAGGTTCAGTAAAATCAGTTTGTTAAAAAAATCAATATTTTTTGTGCTATTTGATGATTATTTATACAATCTCATATAAGTATATATTTATTTATGTTTAACAAATCTCTATTAAAAATTTATCTCTTCTTTTAAATATGTCTTTTCATAGTGTAAGCATACCTTATAGAGAAATAACTTGTTTTCAAAGACTTTGTTATGGATAGGTGGTAATTACAGAGAAACTTGTACATAATTTAGCCTTTTGAAAATTAAAATTGCAAATACAAAATTAATACAAGTCTTATGTCATCATCATTGTGATATTTTCTTTTTAATATTTTCAGTTTAAATTTTTTATAAATTTTTCTTGACCTGGGATTTAGTACTTTTTCGGTGTAATGTTTAGATCATCTCCCTTAGATTATTAAATTGAATTTTCATAAAAATTTCTTTTATATTTATAGGCTTGAACATTCTTTTTTTGTAGGCAACACTATCCAGATAAGTTTTTTAGTTTTGTTTTTTCATTATTTGGAGATGGATTTAAAGTTTATTATCATATGTTTTTTTTTAAAAGTACATGTATTAAAAAGTCAAAGTGATTTTGATGGCTGAGAATGCATCAGTATTGGAGATTATCCTTTTAAGTAAACCAACAAAATGAAACAAATTAAATATCATCCCAAATATTCCCAAAGCCAATGACCTTTTTGTCTGCTGTACAAGTATTAAACTGTGGGTGGCAGCAATATATAGAAGAGAGATGCTATCTTAACATGACTTTCAGTGAGTTGATGTTAAAATTAAATAAATTATTTCTAAACTTAGCCTCCGGAGCTATAGAAGACTAATGAAATGATATCTAAATATAGGGTCTATTGTAACTCTTTTGTAATGATTTTAAAACCACAAATTAAACTGTTATTGTATATTTCATGAGGCAGGAACAAGGATTATTCAGTTATACAAGCACTAGATAAAGGGAGACATAAATTAAAATAAAAAACGTCCTATGCTCCAAATTAAGCATAGTTTTTGTTGCTTGGTATGGCATTATTGAATTAGTATGAAATCCAAGATAAATCCCCGAATATTCCCTTGGTATCTCTGTTCTGTATAGCAGTTGTCAGCAGTAAATGTTGATTTCCTGATAGTAAATGCATTACATATATAAAACTTTCAAAGGGCAGGAGGTTTGAATGAAGAAAAAGGAGACATTTATACAAATAACACATGGGTTTGTGAGTAACAGCAAAAATACCATCCCGCTTACGCCTCGGCTAACAGTATTTTTATGAAGGATGATATTTTTGCAGTTACTAACAAACCTAAGTGTTATTTATTTTATTACTCCGAACGAATACTTCATTGGAACACTGTTTATATAGCTTCATATTTTTCAGATTTTTACTGTGGAAAAGTACTGTACTGTTACCTAGGTAAAAGTACCAAAATTTTTTAGTCACATGGTACACTTGAATAAACAGTAAGGATAACTCCCAATTTGTCAGTGGGAAATTAACATTACAAAAAAGTGAGGGGTAATAAATACTAACATACCAAGATATTACCAGTATTATTTAAAAAAATTATTTGTCTTTCCATACCATTCTTTGTAGGTATGCTTCAACTGTTAGGCAATGCTTTACTCTATGTTCATAACACGTGAGCTTTCAGGTTCTTGGCTGTTTGTTACCTAAACATTACCCTTAATTGGGTTTTTAACAGTCACATGTTTGATTAAATCTCCGTGAAACTTTGTCAGAATGTTGCTCTGAATGATTTGACACTAGGTTATGTCTGGAACTTGAAATTTAAAGTCCCAGGTTGTATAGCAATCACAACTAGGTCACGGCCAGGTCATATCAAAGTGAACCTTTGTCAACACTCCCCACCACACTGCTCATCAAGTCTTGATTTTTTTTTACCTGCTTTAAAATATAATATTACCAACTGTAGTTAGTATTCATGTGTATGAGGAGATCTGAAGATACTACATTATACCTTCTTTTAAGTTTCATTTTAGCCAGTTCATTGTAATTTATGTGCCTATAATCCAGGCTTCATTTAGTTACTTAAGTGTTTTTGAATGAATATGTAATTAAAATGATACACTAAATGTATACATTATGATTAAATAGTAGCTTATTTTATTCTTCATGAACTGGAAGTGGTGTAGAATGTCTATTTAAGTTTACTATAATAACACATCTGTAACATTATTTTGTTTTTGAAATAGTGCAATACTGGTTGGAGAGATAACTCCGACACTAAATCACATATTTTTTGTAATATCTTAATTATCTTCCTGTATATTTTAAATATTGAACCACCCAAATAAAGTTCAGTTCAAAGACTTTACATTACACTACAAAAAATATGTATGAAAATGAAAATTGGTACTTCTTTAAGGTCCTGAATGGGGTATACAAAACATGGTCTTTTTACCCCTCAACAGTAGATAAAGTCGACACTTGAATTTTTTAGTAAAAAATGACAGGAAAATCAGCATCGTTAATTTATTTTTACATTTTTTATGTTTTATCTATTTTTTGTTGATGTAAAAACAAGTTTTCAAAAATATTTCCCAAGTCAGTGGCCTGTGGTCAATACATTTCTAACTACCTCATTGTAATTTAGTAAAAAGAACATTTTGAAGCAGTTTTTGCCAACGAAATGTTTCAGTTAATTGAAAAATATTAAAAAGTTTACAAACTTACAAAAAATCGTCACATTCTGTCCTGCTCCTATACTTCTAGGTGACCATATGCTTTTTTGTTGAAAAACAAAGTTATAAAAATTATATTTATCAAGTGTCGGGGTTATCTATGCGTCGGAGTTATCTCTCCCACCAGTATGCTTTTTTGGGGGAATTGTGTTGCTATGTGCTGAATATTAAAATTACATGTTAATTAAAAGATACTTGTTGTTTTTGTTATGTTACTTGCCTACTTTCATTCACTGATTGCAAGCCACATGTGTATAACCTGATCAGGCTTGTATAATGCAGTTGTCTGGACTTTTAAAGAACTACTCCAAAATCATTATTATTTGTGGCACACTATTTTCATGGTTTACATGGAGAGGTAAATCCTTCAATTTAAAACCCAACAAAATTAAATTTTTCATTACTGTATTTACAGTTTACTTTTAATGTCCTTTTTTAACAATGTATGATTTAAAAAGCGCTCAAAAAATGTCCTTTTGACAAATCCATGTAACTTCATGTCCATGTTATTAAGTGATTCGTATTTCTGTAAAATATCAAAAAGTTAAACAGTAAACTGCATAGAGTTGGGTTTAATTAAAAAGTATGTAAGCTGGCCTGGTACTGTATTGATGGCATTGACAAGTCATTTTTGGTGCTAGATTGATACATTGTATATCGAAGAAATAAAATGATATTTGTGTTGACTATTTCACAGCAATAATGGTGTGAAATTCTCTGAAACTTGATATGAGTTTTACTATGTATAAAGTCTATGGTTCGAGTGTTTATTCTTCTGTTAAGGCACAAAATGCAGCTTTCGCTGGAGAGTACGAACTCCCTACAGTCGTGTCACCAGTCATGCCTTTAAAGGTTTAATTTTGTGCAAAAGGTCTCTATACAGCTTTCAATGAGCACATAAACATACATTTACCTGTGAGAATAATGAAGGAGGTTAGCCCTGATATGGGCTGTTGTACCAAGCATTAAGAGCTGGCCTTTCAAGCCGCAATGTACTAGGGGCTCACGCACCCAAGTATCCTTTCTCATTATCCCTGCCTACTCTGTATGGCCACTCCCTTCAGCTTTAGTCAGGACATCAGCAACTGTTTAGTTTGATGCATACACACATATATATAGACTGGGAAAATAAATAATCAACCGAATTGTATAAAATTTGTGGTTTATTTCATTAGTACAATGTACACATATAGTCACACACAAAAAGCGCATTTTTGTACAAAATATCCCAAACATAAATTTACACAAACTTTTACAACACAACTTATTATTACAGTTTTATTCAATGTTTTACATTTTTAACATCAAGTCAAATAAATATTTCTGAAATAGTTATTTTATATGCAATTTTGCATGCTAACTTAAATGTTTCATTTATATGCAAATTTGCATGCTAACTTAAATGTTTCACAGTTAAATATTGTATTTTATAATATTGCAAAAAAAACTTTCTGAATTTTCATTGGTTGAAATTGGTTTGGTTATACAGATCTTATTCTGGTTATATCCTCCTATATATAACATCAAACTAAGCAGAAGTTACTTATAGCATAATTGCATAATTGTCTGAACTAATTAATTTTGTTCTCGTACCAAAACAATAAAAAAAAGTTTGTTTTATCTGTTAGGTGCATATTATCTAACCCAACCCAAACTGAATCCCAACTTTTTGTCTGTTGTTAAGTAGAAATATATCAAATTTTATTACTTATGCTATTAAAGACTAAAAAAAGAAATGTTTTCAGATAACATTTAGTTCCGTTGTAAACATTATAGCATTATAAAATTGAAATTCAAAATTACATGTATATACATGTGTATGTTTACTTGTTGTTTTCTTTTGTTTGTTTAATGAACAATATGTCATAGCTGATTAGATATTTCTCTTCATAGTTGATATGGAAATACCAATGATTATTTGTAATAATTAATCACTTTCAACAAATATTCCAGGCTTTTGTATTACAGAAAAAAATCTCTTGATATTTTATATTATTTCTACACCAGTCCTTGGTAATTAATTGCTTAGGCAATTTTTTACTACCATGGTGTGAAACATGGTTTGTTACATGAATTACAAGTTTCATTCTTAATCATAAATGTAATCAATATTTTCAATTTGCAGATACAGTTCATGAATATTTGAAGTAAGAAAAGGATTCAATTACATTTCTTCTCCGCTTATTGATTACCCTACAAAAAATACGAAGAAAACCTGTAAAATAGGAGGCTATTAACAATAACTAGTGCTTAGTGCTGTTCCTCATAAACTTGCAAGAAAATATGTGAGCTGTCTTAATAAGAAAATATAAGACATTACCTAAACTTGTAAATAAATGAAGTACAATGCAACTAACAGACTAGTTAATATGCTTAATAATGGAAATAAGCTAGTGTGCTTCAGACAAATTCCGAAATGTGTTGCCAAAATCTCCGTTTTTGGGTGTTGTTTTTTTGTAATGACTAAAATAATATTCCTCATTATAATAATATATTATATCTAAAAAAAACAACACAATTTTTTAAAACTTGAGTTTGCCAGATACAGTTATTTATCTTGCAAAGTGATAAAAAAAACTTAATAATTTGAACTTTAAAAACTTTTGTAAAGTGTTTAGGAAGATCTTTCTGAGTTAAGGCTTGATCGTTTCGAGTAATTTTTCATTTCCGTCTTGACAAGAATTACTAACCAAGTCATGAAATATTTTTTAGATATTATTGGATGAATGTCTTCTGAACAGAAATAAAACAATTATAGTCTTTATAATACACATATATAATTACAGTATTTATATTTTTTTTATAGAAAATGGTTCCACAGTTCAATATTTTTGCAACTGCAACATATAACTGACAAACAACATACAATGGAATGATTAAAAACAAGGAATTGCATCAAATGCAACAATGGCTAAATAGTGACACACACTAAGTGGGGATTTTATTTACATAACATTAAAATCTTACTGGTAGAATACCCCTAAATTTTCACTGCGCCTCTGCAGACCACTATATCTGCTGCATTTAATTATATACAGTTACAGCCATCAAAACTTGAGGCAACAAGATGTGCAATAAAAACAAGTGAGAAAAGTGATCCATTCCAAGTTCAATCTTCAACACATGAAATGTATATTGTACAATTATTGAAAAACAACAGTATATAGATATTAATAAAGAAAAAAGAGAACAAGTAATAAAATTACTAAAATCTTTAACATTTGTGACAGCTGAGGAGAAAACTACTTCACTAGTAAGCTAAATTTATCTTACAGCCTTTTTCTCTTCATCTGCTATGATTTTGAAACTGTACACGGTTATTGTTAAATGACTAGATTTCAATATCAACTTAATTAAAATTGAACATCCAAGAGCAAAGAATCTGGTCGGATTGCTGATATTTATGTCTAACTTGATTGCCTGGCTTTTTACTGTTACCATGGTCACGTCATAAAAGCCACAAGCACTTACTTGGCTAAAAATAAAATAATGTCTGACCAGCCTATAAAATTTAAACTACAAATCTTAGTTACTTTTTTTCAAATCTGACAAGAGATATATTGGCCCAATAAAAAGCATCTACTTGTAAAGATTTACTCAGCTATTATAATATGATGTATCATATTTTCCTACATATCAACAAGGTAAGCAAGTTAATAACATGTGTATTTGTACATTAAAACAATGACATTGGCAAAATGATCTGCATGTACAATAAAATGTAAAAGCCAGGGTGATAAAACTGCCATATAGGGGCCTGTATTTTGTTACATATATGTATATACATATTAAATGTACAATTGAACTAAATATGGCTGGCAACTACATTATGATTATTACATGCTTACTTATAGTCAAAAGCATCAAGCCTGTAACATGCAATATAAAATATCAAAATTTCATAACAGTAACAAAATTTCATAACTATCATCTTTGCAGTCATGTGTTTGATTGGGTGGTGGGGTAACAAATAAGGGTTAAAATAAGGTTTTATCTTTGTGTATATATTTAGTAAACATAATTTATGTCATTTCATATCAGACAGAGACCCTATGTATGTTCATGGCACATAAAATTAAAGGAACTCCACTGAGGTCCAAAAGCCTAAAAACATAAAATTTTAATTTCTTACATAAGTCAGCTGGGGCTTTTAAAAAAGAAAGATATGCAAAATATGATTAAAAAATATACACAGAAACAATTGAAAATGGTATTTTTATGTTATTCTTAGCCCAATTTTGGGCGAAAAACATTGCAACGCTATTCAATTTTGGGTCCTTTTTGACACAAAAAGAATTATAATCCTGAAAAAACGGATTTAGCGAAGGATCTAAATGTTATACACAAGTTATTGACCTACATCAAACGGAAAAAAATTCTCGAAAAAATTATTTTCAGTCCCGTCATGTCGATAATCCTCAGTGGAGTCCCTTTCACTTGCGACTACAAGAAAGAAAAAAAAAACAAAGTCATTGTGCTATGTTATATAAGGACGGACAGGAATTAAAAGCATTAATGTTAAAAACAACGCACCTATTACTCTATCACTGACAATAACTACCAAATAACAATGCTAAAAACACTAACAAAATATTCACACTGATGAAATATATATATATCACATTGATGAAAATATATATATCTCACACTGATAAAATACATATATATCTCACACTGATGAAAAATATATATCTCACACAGATGAAATACTTATATATATCTCACACTGATGAAAAAATATATATCTCACACTGATGAAATACATATATATCTCACACTGATGAAAAATATATATCTCACACTGATGAAATACTTATATATATCTCACACTGATGAAAAATATATATCTCACACTGATGAAATACGTATATATTTCACACTGATGAAAAAATTTATATATCTCACACTGATGAAATATGTATTTCACACTGATGAAATAATTATACAGTAGATAAGTTAGAGGCATCATGCCTGATTAACAATATATGGTAGTTTAGAATACAGATGTGCAATAGTTATACCACATGACAGATAACTTGACTGGTTAAATATGCAATTAGTTCTTATGTAATAATTCATATAAATTGATTATATAATAAACTGAACTTAATTATATAATAATCTGAACTTTATTACATTTATTCACAAAGGCAATCCCCTGACAATTTCTATTAACCTTTACTCTAATGAATTTGTATTAGGAATTGTCATGTTTTAAATTTGGTACTGTATGCAGAGACTTTAATATCAATATACATAAATTGAGCAGTCAACAGCAGAAGTTGAGGCTGTTGGCATTGTACTGTACTGGTGTCAAAAGCAAGTCACCATGGTCATTTTGGTTCAGCTGGTTTATATATAATCAATCAAGTTAGAAGTTAGCTTTTATCAGAGTTTGGAATTTATACATTTTCTACAGAAATTTGATGGAAGTCTAGTACAAAGTGACACAATTTTAAGGAACTTCACTCGGAGGTTCAAAAGCCTAAAAACATAAAATTTGAATTTCTTACATAGATCTACATAAAACAGAAAAATATGCAAAAGATGATGAAGAAATATACATGTATGTGCTTAGAAATAAATTAAAAATCATATTTTTTCTGTTATTTTTAGCCCAATTTAAGTTAAAAGCATTGCAATACTTTACAAACTTGGGTCATTTTTCACAATAAGAATGATTATTTTGGAAAAAAGGAGTGAGGGAATGATCTGAAATTTTGCTCAAAAGTTATTGGTCTAGACCTATGTCAAATGGAACATTAATCTTGAAAAAATTATTTCCAGTCCCGTCATATTAAAAAACTTCAGTAAAGTCCCTTTAACCTTTATCATACTAAATATCTTAAAAGTACTTGTTATACTTCAAACTGCACTAAATCGTTAAACATTCTTAGAGAAAAATTAAAAATACATGTGTATACTAATTGAATGGCAAACAATGTAGACAATGATCCAATGACTGATCTTTGTCTAAACTGGTCAAATGGTTGAATTCAATCCCCGCCAGCAGGCTTAGGGTTATACAAATCTTTAAGACAGTTAAGAATACAACTTAACAACTTGACAATGCTTTGCTATTTAAAATTAGAAATAATTCGATCTGTAAAGTTAACACAAAGAAAATTTGACAATGGTTTGCTATTTGCACTTTAGAAATAATTCTATAAAGAAAATGCAAATAAGCTTTCTATGACTAAGCATAAAGCTTAAAGTTTAGAAAACATATGTACACTTTCAGTGCTAAAATACAAAGAATATAAGAATCAAAGTTTTTTTTGTTTTTTTTTTTCACAGATAAATTTTAAACATTGTAAATATTTCATCTTATCTAGCTTTTCTTTTCATGATAATTTAAAAAATTACTAAGACAAATCATATAAATCTTGAAAAAATGTTAATTATATAATACTTTGTGATAGGTAATTAAACTAATTTCCCTAACTTTATATAATTAATGGCAACACTCTTGCAATAGAAAATGCTTATAGGAAGCTAGGATAAGTGCATTAAAATAATACAATTAGCACACAAAATAATATAATTGTCTTAAAATTATGAACATAATAATGAAAAGTTAATGAAAACTTAAATAAGATAACAGTTGGAGCCTGAAAATTGAGATCACAGTGTTACACAAATGTTTATATTAAGTGCTATGATAAATCAAGAAGAAATGACATCATTTCCATTGGACGTATGGAAAGCTCCATATCTAAGGGCACATTACCCTTACTGTGTAAATGTGTAAGAGTTGTTTCCCTTGTGCTAGTGATTGGTATATTTGGTAGTAATGAAGAAAGAGTTGGATTAGTCCTAGATAAAGGACACTGTAGTCCTGCTGCCAGGTAATTGCAGTCAAATTTTCTACGATGAATGATTAAACTGGAACCATTATAGACTAGGTCCGACGTAACTAAATTTTTCAAACCCACAACAGACATATCACATGGAATAGATTGATTCTTTGGATGGAATTTCGACAGGAGGATATCATTTCTCACTGTAGTGAACATTGTCTGGATAGGTTGCTGCAATCCTTCGTTTATTACACTACTAACTAAAGACGGGAAAGTGAAGTGAAAATTCTTCACAGGAATTGCTGAACTTTTACGTTCAAAATGAAGAATGAAATTACTTATGGTTGGTCTATTGTCAAACACACCCTCGCCAAGTCCTCTATTATCATCACTCATTACTTTACGATCTAACATCACTTCAACCGATCCTTGATGAAGCGAAGCCACCCCATGACTCTGTTTAGTATGTAAGGTCAGTCTTTTTACACTGTCTTCCAAAACTACCATTGTTGTAACTGGATAATAATTAGTTTCTATTCTACGATTGAAAATTGTTTTTCTCCCTATTAGTTGGTAGCCATTTTGATCTGTATAAAAAGAACCGTCAACATTTTTCACATCACTATTAATTCTCATAATAATTTCATGGTCTGACATATCCTTGGCCCTCATGTCAAGTTTGTTCTCAATATGTAAACCTTGTCCTTGTGAACTAGCTATATCAAACAATGTCATGGAATGGTATATGTTTTTATACACTACTTGAATTTGTTCCATAAATAGTCCCTTAATTACCCTGATTTTAGGAACTATTTTTTCTAATAAGGTTTCTGCTTTACCAGAGGGATAAAATATATAAGCGCCACTTCCTTCAGAAGAATAGCTCATAAAGTCTAATTCAACTTTACTGAATGTTCCTGATGATTTATCATACATTCTATTTAGCACCCCCTTCTTATCAAAGCTTGCTTTCATAAACTCATTTTCTATGTTACTTATTCTATCTATGTCTCCATAGTTTCTCACTTTGAATTTCATATTTTCGTTATTTTTCACAGGTTCTGTATTTAGTGTCTCTACAGTTGACCAATAACCATAAATGTTTCTATCCACTTGATATATTGTGTACGTCTCAAATCCAAATGCGGGAATTTCCAACTGAAAGACAATTTCAAACTGAGACTCATGAAAGTTCGTTGCAGATTTGAAAACTGGATTTATTTGGAATGGAATGTTAAATTGTTGGGAATTCTTTATTTCAATGTTAAAACTATCAACAACTAATGTAACCATTTCCGTCCGCTCATGAGCAACTGGATTAAAATAAATGAGTTTTGTGCCACGTTTCATGACTGCAACAGTATACTTTCCAGGTAGACTGTAAGCGTCCCTTCGGTATCTCTCTGGACTTAAGATAATTGGGTCATCGTGCTCGCAGTATGTAAGCAGATTTTGAGTGGTTATACTTATAACATCTTGTGACAGATTGAATGCTTTTAATAACTTATTTTCATAGTCTTCAACAACATGAGGCTTTGCAGTACCTGTTATTGCATCATGATGCAAAAATAGTCCCAAATTTCTACGCACTTCTTGTAACTGACGGGCCACATCATGATGGCGTTCAAAATCCACACCATGTTTCTTACACTCAGAATATGCTAATGTACTCAAAATGTCTGCTGAACGCAGGTTATTCTCAATATCACGTGATAATTGTTTATGAAATGGTCGTGTAGAAAAATATCCTGTCCAGTATTCTGAATTCTGGTCAGAATACGGGAAGAAATCTCCCTTCAATACTGGAAAGCTCCCATCAACATCTTTACCTTTACTCAATTCTTCATGTCTTAATAATCTAAAATAGTCTTTCAATGTTCCAAACTGAATTGTCATATTCCAATTCTGTTTATTTATATACTCAATCACCTTCTTGTAATTATGATAATGCTTGTCCCATTCTTGGGAAGTGTCGAACCTAAAGTCATCACCAACAGGCACCAATACTGTACTGTACTTGTACAATCCTGCTTTCTTTTTATACTGTTCATGCAAGTATCTTGCTTGTGAAGCAATATTCTTTTTAGTTATCTCCCTACCAGTTGGTTCTTCTTTCAATGATTTTGGTTTTCCATAATCATACATTGCACAAATTTGTTTGTCTGGACCACACGCGTACTGCATTCCATAGTAAACATACGGCATGACATGGCATAGTATATCACTGGTGCCACTAAAATCCCAGTTTTGCCGCCAGTTGAATTCTAAAGCTTTCTGAGAAACAAGGGTTGCTTTAATTGCTTGGTGAACTCTTTGTATTACCATATTCTCCATACCAGATTGTTTCCATAGATACGGCATAGTTCCAGAATGTCCAAAAGGGTCAATGGCCCAGCTGTTGACTGGTTTTGTGTGTAAATTTTCAGACACCCATTGCTGGCCTTCCATCAGCTGATCAATAACAGAAGGATAGTGGGTTGATGCCTCATCAGACATAACCCAACCGCCAAGCGCGATCTCAAGCTGACCTCTTTGTAGCAGACGTCTTACCTGATACTTAACGTCATCTTCTAACTCATTCCACCACATTGACAAAAACACAGTCTCCGCCCATACAAATGTCATATCTTTATACAAATTTAATTTTTTCACCATATTATTGAGAATGCCTTTCACATGGTTCACGTAGTACTCCTCTACAGATTGAAGCCATCCTGCATCTACGTGTGAATGCGGTAATATAATCACATTTATCATCTCTTTGTTTCCTTCAACTTGCGGGTGTTGCATTTTATATTGATTATTTTTGTATAAATTATAGTTTGTCTTTTCAGGAAGATTTTGCGTAAAAATTGTAGCATTGTCTAATTTTGTAAAATCTGAATTTTGCTCACACTGAACATTCTGTAATGAAGCTGACCACTGACTTGGATCAAAATCATAGTCGATGGAGAGTGCTCTTCGATGTCGTGTAGCATGATGTCCGCTTGGCACGTGCATCACACCTGGACTGTACAGGAGCAGAATAAACACAAGCCCGAGCATGGCAGCAGAAGACACCATCATTAATCTCTGCTGAAACTTCATCCTGGAACTAGTCTGCTAAGGGTTACAGTTTTCATCAACATCTTCGTCATGCCATCATCTGAAAATATATCATAAATCATCTTGTAAATTCTATTAAAATAAAATCAATGACAGTTCTGTAAAATAATTAATTTGTTAGAATAAACTGAGCTCCTTATCAGTAGACATAATCTTATAGGAAACAGTCGACTGGGAATAATTCCAATTCATAAAATAAACCGAGTCAGCAAAAACACATTTATTTTTAATTTGAGAAAAGGTACCTGCTAGTAAAATATTCCTTATTTTTTTCTATTTACCGTATTTTTACTGCACAACACTGCAAACAACGATTATTTACACACAAAAAACCCAGATTTTAAACAATAGGTTTTATTTGGTTTAAATGGAATCAACCAATAAAATCTGTTGTTGTATCCTTGTGGAAGACTGTCAGTAAACTTGTCCTTTTATCTCTATGATTATTTATTTACCAAGTGAGCATTACATAGGGAAATGTTTTTGGTCCCCTGAGAGGTTAGACTGGTAATCAGGTTAATTGAGCGGATCTTCCCAGAAAACAATGTAATTAATTACACTGACTAATAAATGCTGAGTACTGTGTAATGCACTCCTTCACACTGATCAACAATGCATCTCAGTACACTGATTTTTTTTTTCAATCAAACAAAACAGTAAAACGTGACATTTCAGTACACAAGGCACTGAATAATCTAGTAATGGAATCGCTTCTTCTTTGCGAATTAAATACAAACAAATAAACAAGCATCTGTACACTGATGAAATATTGTGTAACGTATTAATTAAGTTTAAACATGTTTATTTATATTAGCTAGAAGCTAAATATTTGAAGCTCTCTCTAAACTGATTCCTGGAATATAATATATTTGATATATTGTGATGGAAGAAATTACCTGAGTGTTCATCAAACTTATAAATCAGTTGTTGTATATAAATGCTTAATATTTTGAAATTAAAAGTTTTACCATTTTTATATGTATCTTTTATTTATAATGCAATATATATATTTTAATACGTTATCAATTTACACGTATAAATTCTATTCAATTCTGCAATTATAAATAACCATTACTACAGACAAAATAATTATTTACAATTATATTAAAATAAATGAATTACAAATAATAATGGAGATTTATTTTATTGTTCTTTTTTTTTTCATATTATCTAATCATGTCTTGATGTTCTTGAGACCTGATCACTTTTATCAGTCTATTAAGATTTAATTGTATAAGATAGAACAACACAATGTCAGGAATTAACTCTATTGGACATCATAGCCACTAGGGTCTGAATACATGATAAAATGTAGGATTATATAAAGCTATAGAAGACATTGACACTTGCTTTCAGACAAACATTCCACACAGGTCTGTTGGAGGAAAAATGTACAGAGCAAATTATCTGGCTAAGTGGGAATCTACCTGGTTTTCATTACAACAATACCTGGACACAAACTATTTGTCTATTTGTAATAATTATCCTACACTGTTGACCACTAATAATGATGAATGGCCGGGGTTCTGACACTAATAGGAAAATAGCCTTAATGAAAACCTTTCGGTGAACGTTTCAACAGTACTTGCAGGCAACTTTGATATTTCTTTGTAGGAATTTCCTACCCAACAAAAAATTAAGATCTTCTGATGAAGAACAACTCTGGCTTTTTATGACAACCCTTTTAATGCTGATTTATGTATATTGGTACTAAGATCACCTTGACTCAAGTGATGTTTCAAGACCAAAAAATTAAAATAAAGCAGTCTATAGTGTAAGTATGATCAGATTTCATGACAGGCTGGCCAATGGTTGGTTGTATAACATGACTGATACACAAATATTGTATATGTAATTTGATAAAACTATGTGACATGAAATACATGTATATGTCTTGAAAAGTTTTATTTTTTAAAGATACAGAAATTAATCAATGTACCAACATTTTTGAACATTATAATTTCAAAGAGAAACAAATTTATAAGCCTGAAGAACCGTCAAAAGATTTCAAGATTTTTTTATTCATTTTTTTTTTACTATAAATTATAACAGGAACTATAAATTATAACAGGTAAATTTTAAATTTAATGCCACAAATGAAGTCTGAAATATACTATGTTTCCATTTTAAATAAAATTATAAAAATGATCCTTAAGTTTATAGAAAGATGTATGTTACAGTTCACTTGCATTCTACCTGTTCCTTTTACAACAATTAAAGACAACAGTTTCATAAGTAATAATAGTTTTTTCTGACCTGAAACACTATCTTAAAATTGAAAATCCTATAAGCTTATTAAAGCAGCCACATAGGTATGGTATACTATTATAACAGGGGGAAAAATCTGTATTTTTACAGAAAAATATCAAATTTATTAGATTACCATGATATGCAAATCCCCATGGGAGTTTTTTCATTTAATTAGATAAGATAAATACTGATGCCTTTCAGATAACACAGCCTATTTAGAAGAACCAATATTGCGCAAATAAATTGTCTTTATATGTGATTTAAATGGAACTATCTAAACAGTGAAATTCTTGAACACAGATGTTTAATGCCAAAATTTGATAAATTAAATGAAAAAAATGCATAAATCTTAATTTAGAGTACTTTTTCCTTGTTTTAATTGAATCACAGGATGTCGAAAGAGCATTATCTTCTGCTGCAGAATGTTTATCCAGACTGGGTCTCAGTTTCAAAGATAACAACACTATCATTAGATTTTATTCTGATAACCAGACTTAAGTAGGGAGATTTTACACAGTACATCTGTGCTTGGAAAGGCAGATGAAAAACATTAAACATTTAGCAATATCTCAAAAATTCATCTGAGATTTTGGAATATTCTTGGAGCATAATCCTACAGATCTTACCCCCTTATCATGAAATAACCAGTTTCTCTGAAAGATGGCAATTAAATTGAATTTATCATTTTGTTAAGTTTAAGGTAAGCCATTAAAATGACAGGATATAAACAGTTTACATGACAGAAAAGAACATAACTCATACAAAAGTTTTCTAACATAGATCAGCAAAGTTTTTGCATGAGGTATTTTTGTAGATACATTCAACTAAATCAATTTCAAGCTAGAAAGTTTACAAAATGATACTGATAAAATGTACAATCTCTTTAAATTTTGCAAGAAACATAAATATTTATAAATACTTGTAGAATTTATAGATGCTTTTATCATTAAAAATATTATTTATATTAATTTTGTCAAAATTTCTTGAAATAGTTACAATGGCATCTTGTTTAGTTGCTCTTTTTTTGTTACTTTTCATTATAATAATCTTGAAAGAAGAAAATCAAATTTTATTGTTCAATGTAATTTAAAGGCCCATTTATAATAACGCAGGAACAAATTATTTTTTTTACTTCTTTAGAAACATTATAATAGAAAGGGTAGTCATCAATTTCATAACCTTTAAATGATGGTAGATGCTTGATACCTTAAGGTGACAACAGACACTTTCCGTGGTACTCACATAAATGTCATTTAAACCAACTTATTTTAGTGATAATTGTTATTTATTTAATCTTTGTGCATTAAATGTCGTTGATCATCATAAAAAATAACATATTTGAAAAAAATGCCTTTGTAAATGATTGATTTTTAATAAAAATCCTAAAATTTTAAATCGTCATATCAAAGTCATTTTTTATTTTTTTGTCATCAAACTTTTGGAAAATAAACATACTTATAATATCTGGGGAACCGTGTCTCAAATTTTTTCTATCTTTTCTCAAAAAAATATTACGTAACGTCAAACATTTTATGCGACTTTTTTCACCATACATATTACGTAATTAAAGATAATTAAGCCGCTGATTGAGCAAACAAAAATCCCTGACACGGTTCCCTCCGTAAATGAATTCCCTTTCATGTGCTTTAAACCGCATGTTAATTGCTTGATTATTAAAAAAGTTATGCCGATTCAAAGTTAGTCCGACCCGCATCAAACGAAGTGTCATAAATCGGCTGTTCTCTCTCGGACCCCTACGTTTCACGCTAAATAATTGCATAATACACAAATATCGCACCAGAGAGGGTCACAAGTTGCGGTAACATACTCTAACAACATTTTATGACTCAGTGACATCTGACCAATTAAAAAGTTGATGATTAGTATCAGTTTATAACAGAAATTTCTTCAATTCTTAACGTGATTTACCGTCCGTTTGGTATCGGTCGCACATGTCACGTGTCTTTCGGTTAAATTTGAGGCACTCCGTGGGGGGAAATGGAACGTATTTGCGCACCGCTAGCGGGCTATTTAATTGTTTCACTTTTGAAGTTTATTATTATTATTATCAGCATTTCAGCATTATTATTATATTATACCAGTGTCACTCTGTGTATTCGTTTATGAAATTTCGTTAAAATATAAATTAAACTAACAAAGAACTAAGCTTCTGACGGTCTTTTAAAGTCCATGGTAGATGTACAAATAAGAACGGGATTTTGTATATTTTTTCCTCCAAATTGATATAAATCTTAGACAACCTAAAATGGTTTAGAAATTTGTCAGGGACACCTTACCACAAGTCATATAGGCGTTCACATTAAAAATGTTGTCTGTTTTTGTTGACATTGTTAGAAAATGAGGTTGAATGTAAAACAAGCCCTTGAATCCGTACAAAGTCCATAAACTCAATGTAATATCTATCAGATTAACGGGACAGACAAATTATTTTCACACATTATGGATATTTTAGCAACTATATTTTTAATCAACCCCGTGGTCGTGCGATTTGCCGCTATGCTTAATGATTTCATCGTCGGATACCCACGATTGATAATCATGTCACATAACATGCAATAAATGTTAATGGTTCAGCCGTGGCTATCCCACGATAGCTTATTTATGTTTCATACATTATGTTACGTACATTGGCCGACAATTTCGTATTTTATAAAAAAGGCTAAAAAAAGGTAGACGATATTCGGTATTTGTACGATACATGAATTACGAGTAGTATGGACCAGTATGGACCGGTAATTCACGCATATATGGAACTACCAATTTCCCTCA